ACATCAAAGTAACCCAAAATTCTAGACATTCGCACGAAATAAAACGCAAAAAAGAAAGAAAAACGATGTGAATGGCGTTTCGGTGACTTTCAGGTTTTTATGTGAATTTTTGTTGTTGTTTTTGATGTTAACATATATTTTGGACCGGCTAAAATTACACTGCGCAGCCATAGAGTAGCACCGCTTGATAATCTGACCCTTTTCAATCGACTTACGATAAACGCTGTTGTTGTTGTGTTTTTTTTTATACTCAAAACATACGAAAGTCGAAAATATAAGCAGCAGTATCACGACGACGCAAAGATAGAACGAAAGACACACACACAAATATTGTTAAATCTTGGGAGAATCTCTTAAACGGCCGTGTGCATGTGCTTAAGACAAAATCTGTTTTGTGTCTTTTATAAACAAAATTGCCATTGAGTTTAAATCGTGGCTGCATAGTTGCTTGGGGAACGTTCAAACTGCTGATAGTTAGTTAGAAGCTCGACATAAGTCCAACATATGTAGCATGCATCATTCTAATACGAACGAATGCTCTAACAAAGGGAATTAGTTGGGCTCACCTTCTACGCCATCGTCTTAGTCGTCGTCGTCGTGACCAGTTTCAGCTTCACCTTGACTTGTGAAAATTTTATCATTTCTTTCGATTTCATATCCATATATGTGATTTTTTGTTTGTTTGACAGGAATAAATCCTTGCATTGTGTTTACACCCGAAATTCGGTAACGCAGTTGCCTTCTGTTCATTGGTTGCCTGCACGATGCATATTTTACGTCGATATTAAACATTGGTCGGTTAGGGATATACTTGCATGCAGATAAATGGCACTTCTTCTTTAAGCGCATCCATTTATCAAGTGGCATGACGTATCTTAATCCAAAGCTGCCTTTTGTTAATACCCAAATATTCCTTTCTCCGAATGGTTTGGACCATGTTTCTGGTTTTGCATTTAATTTTCACTGAAATCATAGTTCAAAAGTAATTGATGATGAACGAAGATTGTGGTCGAATGGAAATCTTAAACTGACCCTTTGAAAATCATCAAGATCATTTTAATGAACAATGTTCGTCTAAAATAATTCATCGTCTCAATTTACATGTGTCGAATGGGAAAAAGCAGAAGTGTTAGACCGTGGAAACATCTTCAAAAGACTCACTCGGATGAAAAACACGTTGACAAAAAAAAACTGCATCTGTTTTATGTGAAGTACTATGAGTATTTGTTGTTTCTGGTGCCATAGTGTATGCATCTGTGTGTAGCGTAAATTTAATGCAGGTATATTGTAAAACATAACCTATTTTCTTCGCATTGAATTACTTGAAACGGAATACGAATACGGTCAGTCCATTGTGATTGACATATGTTTGTTTCGTTGAAAAGTGTACGGGAATGCCAGAAAACAGCAAACCGCAGCTTTGTGGTTCTGCGAACCGAAAACTAATAACTATAACGATAACCGGTTAAACTATGCATTTTTGTATAGGTAGCCAATAATGTTACATGTGATATTGTTCATTGCAAATAGCAAACCAATTTCCCACTTTATTTCAGTTAAATTGATGTAATCAATAAAATTAGCGACAATTAATCATCCATTGCACAATTGATACTGTTCACTATTCGTTTTTCTGAAATATATTTTCATCGACACTCCTGAAATTGATAGCAAAAGTGAAGCGTTTGACAATACGTAGATTTCAATCGACATCAACAAATGAACTTGGAAAAAGCAAAAAAAAAGAAGAGTAATTCGATCTAAAATAATCGAATTGACACTAGACAGCCGTGAATGGTAATGGGCATCCGTCTGGTGGAAGGTTCATCGGCAGTCTCGACCGAACGAACGACTCTAATAGCATGATTCAAGGTTTTGTCTATTCAATCATCATTTCCATCCGTCTGCGCGGAAGGAAGGAAACAAATGTTAAAATATTCACAATTTTTTCCCTTTTTTAAAATCATTATTATTTCAGTGTGTGCGTGTTTTTTTTTCGCAATTCCCTTCTTTCTTCTCATTTATTTGCCATCGCATCATTTCGTTACATTCATGGAATTGGCAAAGTGTGAGATGCTCGGTTATATTTTCATGAGGCTTATCTCTTTTTTCTCTCCATTTAATGTTTTATTCGGACGAACGAACGAACGTCTCCAACAGTCATTTCATGTGGTTTTAAGGAATATTTATGCCGTATGTTATGTCAAATGCATCTGATGACTTGAGATGATGGAAGTTAAAGCGCACATTTGTTCTATTCGACGTGGTAACAATTCAGAAAAACATTTATTTGTAATGAGATTAAATGAGAAATGTCGAAAAAGAATTGATCCTTCTCCTTTATAGTATAATATTTTATTTGCCCGCGTTGTTTCCGTTTGGTTGCGACAGTGCGCACTGCATGCGTGCATGGAGAAGAAGAGAAAAATGTGACGAATATTGTGAAAAGCACGTTGGAGTTTGTGTAAGAATGGATTTGTGCCTTTTGTTGTACAATGTAATGGATCCCGATGACCTTCAGTCAATTTTTGCAACGAATGGTTGCACAGAACTCTCTGGATGACATATAATAAACTCCAAATGTTTTCTTTGTCATTCATTTGAATGAAAGTCAACTCCAAAAAGGTCCAAAACTGATATTCTTCTGTTCGCTCTTCTTCGATGGCAGTCGACTGTGAAGTGATCCATCTGTGTGAGTGTGTGTTTGCCTGCCGCATGACTGCAAAACGTATAAATTATGTATGAGCAAAATATAAGATACAACACTAAAATGCATTTGTCGCATCACAATCACAACACACGACCGTGTATATATGTGTTGCTTGTTGCTTGGTAAGCCGTACGTTTTTATCTGTGCTTCGTTTAATTTTTGTACTCATTCCGTTTGGTTGATTATTTTTATGTGTCTAGCACATTTGTTTCGGTTTTTGTTCGATATCCTCTCCTTTTGTTTGCTTTTGTATGCACACCAAAAACAATGACAAGGAATACAAAGTGAAATTGAATTTAACAATGTAGATTATTTCACTCTTTTTTTTCTATCACTCTTTCTCTATCTCACTCTCCATTCGCATCTCGGGTTTCGAGTAAATTTTTAATTGGCTCAAAGTTGTGTGTACCTTCGGCGTGTGACTTGTAAAACGAAGAATCAATGTAAAACTAATCATAATCAATTTGGAATTTACACCGGACAAACCGAAATCATTCAAAATTCCCATAAACCAAATCCGGTGAAATAGAAACTTGTGAATTATTTGGTATGCCAACGTTTGATGTGTGACTTGATCTTAATTCGATTGGAAGCAACAAAAACAAAAGCATAAAACATTCGGGGCTGCTCCTTTGTTGCAATTTCGCTCAAAAAGGTCTACTAGCTTTAACGTGGTCGTTATTATGCGCATTTAAATGCATTTATTTCCATAATTTATGCTTGCACACAGATACACACTCACACATGCATGTCGCACGGCATCATTTCTGTGTCCGCCCGATCGTTCCTTTCTTCGTTCGTTATGCTCATGAGTAAACCGAAAAATTTGTTTCGCTATGCAAAAGTTCTTCATTGAATGCGATTACAGAATTAAAGTGAATGCAAGTGCATAAGTTGCTCGTTTGGTTGTGCATGTGCTTCAGTGTAATTTAAATTTAAATCGTTGTTTTGCGTTCTTCGCTCTTTCCCCTTGCACTCACAATCTGCACTGGACACAGAAGAGAACTGGCAGAACTGGAACGCTATAATCTAGATTAGAATCGAAAGTGTCTATTACACATCCCGTGCACAATACAAAATATAAGTTATGTGTACACAACAAGTACACTGTTGTTCTTGCTGTTGCTTCCAGTCAATCAGGATGCTTTTTTTTAATTTCAAAGCACAAGGTGAACGGAAAATGATGTGGCAATTAAATACTGAAGCAGCTACAGCCAAACAGCATAGAGGGTAGCGCATATTTGATCTATTATATTGGTTGAGTTTTATGATGAGAATAACGTGTGCGTGCATTATTTACCAGCAGCAATTTTCGCATGCATTTACGTATGCCATTTACAACAATAGACACATCGTTGTGTTTCATATGACCGAAGTAATTGCATAAAACACTGGAGGGGCTTCAAGAGCCGATAATAACAAATTGGACAAAAGGTGATATTATTCAGAAACATATTTTCAGGTGGTCAACTTTATGGTATTTGCTACCAGAATTTCAACTCGGTTTTCTTTTTTTAATTATTTAACTGTTTGCGATTGACACATATCAATCGTTGAAATGACACATAATTTGTTCAAGTTTTTTTTTCTCGTTCAAAACAGCCATCATCAAACAAGGAGGCTCCCATGAAGAAAAAAAAACACCCATAACTCCTTTGCAGGTGTTTTAATTTCAAGAAAGTATCGTAAGACAAATGGAAAATTCTACTTTAAATTCGTAGTTGTTCCATAAATGTTTATAATCAATTTTAACACTGAATAAACGTGAATACAATTTAAATGTGACGAAAAAAAAATTGTAAACATGCAACAAATTGTATCAAACAGAAATGAAGAGGAAAAAAAACTGAAAAAAGTACCGAAACACGATAAAGTCAGTAATGCCGACGGCAAAACGCTCCGATGAGCTGCTGCCGAAGCGTTATATGCGTATTGAATGTATTCGTGCACCAGATGACGAAAAACCGTACGTACGTTCACCAATCTCTTTCAACTGAATGAAACGAGAAATTGGAGAAATTTCTTCGGCTCGGTGCAAAAAAGGCAAACGAATTTCGTTTTGCCTTATGTTAAAAGAATATTAGTTAGTGCAGAAAATGGTAAATGAAAGAAAACATTAAATTCTTGAGAAAATGGGTCAGCAGAGTGGCAGGAGATTTTCGGATGAAGTAAATACTCAAGAAAAAAATGTAAACAACAAAGTTCAATGCAAATACGAAACAGAAACAAATAATTGAATAGAACCGATTTGAGGAATTTTTCAGATAAATTGATAATTTTGAGCACTTACTTGTCGGAATATTTAAATTCGTTCAAGTCATCATCAGATCAAGTTGAATGAAATCAGTGGTTGAATTTCGGTTCAGACATCAACACCAGTACACATTAAGTTGTTCCAGTGTAATCCACAAAGGTGAAAAATAGTATCCATTAATGAGTTTCCAATGAATTAATTCATAGATTCCTTCAGGTATTTCAATCACTGCACAAACATTTCACAACAAATTTATTTTTAGCAATTTTTTTTTTATATTTCCAATTTTTCTGCTTCACTATCGGCAAATCGGTTATACAAATCGGCACAGAATACTTGATGGTCACTATTTTCTTCGAAAATAAATTTTCTTCACATAAAAAATCACTCGAAACTTTGACAAATCCACTGTTTTATTGCTGAAACGGTGAAAAACTACACTTTCACCGAAAAAACGAAACAATTCATCCAGCAATCAAATACTGTTGAACAATTGCGTCGTTTGATTTGCACACCAACAATTTTCAAACAAGAAGCGCACATTCATTCTAATTATGGTGCGTCTTCAAATAGCTTCAAAAATTCTATTTCTGACTTTCAACATCAATCCAAATATACAAAATTCACCACAATATAATTGCCGTTCGTTCACAAATCGATCGAAACTTTTCAGTAAATTCTTATAAAAACCACACAGTTTGATGTGAAATGAAAAGTCCGTACATGAAAAATGTTCAAAAGTTTATTTTCCTACAAAAAAAAAGAATTGTCTTTCAAATACCACAACTTCATAGAAACACTTGCGTATCGGTTTAAGACTCGTTTTCAACTAAACATCACGGAATGACGTCGGAGCCAAAGTGCTGCGACCAATGCGAAACAATCGCATGCCGTACGAGTGTAAACGAAAAAAAAAAACGGGTTGTATATGTGAACGTTGTCGCATGTGTGAGAAAGCGAGAGGAGAATGTGTGTGGATGTCGTAAAAAAAAGTCATGGGCATCGCGGATATATACCCATTGAATACGCTTCGGTCTTTTAGTTCCTCGTACGGCCGTACACACATAATCTGTTGACAAACATGCGCGCAGCGCCGCATTTCAGATGCTATATTGCCAAGCTATAAAGAGAAAGACTAATAGTCACCAATTCGATGCGCAGGATGGATCGATTGCGGGGAATGGAACAGACACAATATTATTAAAACGTAGCACGAACAACAACAACAACACAACATATTAAATTTTCGATGCGAAATCGTATATGTACGCATCGTATCTATACTATACACTAGACGCCTGGTGAAATGCCGGCAGCGCAAGTGAGACGAAGCAGTCGAATTTTGTGTGCAAACAAAACGGAATAATCAAACGAAAATTGCTTGCGATTCTGTGCGTTTCCCGCATACGGAAATTTCATGTGAATTTCGTCATGTTTTAATGTGAGCGCGACCGTACGTACCATATACGACGTATGTGCTGTGCTGCGGAGATTCCGCGCTAGACATTTGTTTGGACAATCGTATTTAATGCCGTTGCACAAAATCAACGCACACACACTATTCGAATGGCAGGCGTCTTGGTGAACGGCAAGCATTCTCTCTCTCCCTCTCTCTCGCTCTATCTCTTTCTCTTTCTCTTTCTCTCTTGCTCTTCGATATCTTTTATACAGCTGATTCTGCTCTCCGTGTGCATAAATCATTTTCGTTTTTTTTTTCGTTGCTTTTTTTTTCTCCATGCATGTTGATGTTTGAGTGTACTTTAAAAAAAAACCTCACGACTACGTATTTTAGCTCGTTTGTTTCGAATCTTCGTGCCTTTCTTTTGTGTTGCTTTGAGGTTGAATCATGTTAACGAAGAAAAAAAAGTGCTGATTTGAAATTCAAAGTATTTCTTGGACTTTTATTCAATGCGAGCTTGGTTTTTTTTTCTCTCTCAAGATTTGTTGCTTCTGATAATTTGACCGCACATCAAAGATCTCAGTAGTGCTACAAATCAATTTAGATCTCTCAAACTGTGTGATTCAGTAAGTAAAATTGTTTGAAAATGATATGAACATGAAGTATTTTTATTTTTTCTAGTTGAAATATCAAGAAAGTCGAATGGATCCATTGGGATTCATTTTTTCATATTATTGTTCGGTCACTCTTTGGAAATATTCCAAACGCTTTCGAACGACTGCCGACGCATGTATGAAGCATGCTATTTTTATGGGCTTATCTCAACAATTTACTCATAAACATATATGTATGTATGTATGCATGCATGGCATGATGGTTGTTGTGTGTAAAATGCAATCAATTCGACAGCAAAACAGCATAAAAACTTTACGCATTTCATTCGCACATAGCATTCGTCGTGATATGCCATTTCATTCGATTTTGAGCGTGTTGGCTTTGCATTAATGTGCATCTGTTGTGTGAATAGAATGGAATGGGTTGGGTTGGTTTGTGCTGGGTTGGGTGGTCGATAGTATTTGACGTGTTCGTTTTTGCCGTATTCCTCCAACATATATTCACACCAATCGATGTGGATGTGAACGTGGACAAACGAACGGCAATGCTTTTCTCGTCTGTGAGTTCGTTTTGTGAAGCGCATTTGAAAGGGAAAGTGTTTTGAGTGCGTCGCATGCACTCGGTAGAGTATGATATGAGTAACGTTGAACCGTAGCTATGAACGAAGGGGACAAAAAGAGATAGACACTAGGAAATATGCATGTGGGAGTGGCCAGCGCTCGTAGAACAAAGCATAGCAACGCCTTCGATATTTCTCTTTCCTTAAACTTTGAGCAGCTAGTGACCAAAATTTTATACTAAGTTTTAGTCGCGTACTTACGCATCGTCGTTAACGACGTCGTTGTCGTTCTTATGCCGGAGATATTATCATTTTTCTAGTTGATGATTTGGCATCTCAGCTTGAATAAGTCAAACTTTTATGGTTTCCTGAAATCAAACTTTGTGCAATTCAAAGACACATTGATTGTAGTATACGATTTTTTTTTCATATATTTATATATATATTGAATATTAGAAATTTTTACATGGTTTGATTGGCTTATAACATCAAAAGTCCCATTCAAAACATTCCGAATAGTAATACATTTATAAAAGAAGATAAGAGTTAAAAACTCGGCCTAGAAAACTCGGCTTCTCTTGCACTTGCATAAATATCTTCATTTCTGAACGCTCTTGGAATAAAGAATATGGGCTTAGGTATGTTTTGTAATTTTTTTCTTCTGAAAAGAGTTTTTTTTTAAATAGGAAGACGTATATATTGATTGTTGCATGTTTTGAACTTTTATACGAATCTCTTGAAAAAAAGAAGGTTTAGGCGGTATAAAATTGAATGTTAAAATTATGCGTTTAAAGAATTTAATTTTGATGATTTTTTTTCTTCGTCTAAGAATGATGATACATTGTGTTGTCGATAGAAGTGTTTGAAAAATGTAAAAAAAAAGAAACTGTAAATGAGATAAGAAGCAAACTGAGTGATGGAAAAAGCTGTTTTTTTTTTTCAGAAAAATTCATTTCCTGCCTATTTGGCCTGATATCTTTTTCAATTTTGCCAAAAAAAAACACCAAATACTGAGGAAATATACAATGACGAAATCGACTGACTGACTTTGTCTCATCCCATATTATTCCCGAATGAACAATCGACAAAAAAAAATTACCTATGACTGTTTGTAAAATGTATTGCTTTTCGATGTTTGATATACAAATGTTTACACTTTAGAAAACGAAACCGATCAAATCCAAACGGAAGCAAATAATGTATGTATAAACCTACAAATGTTGTTGGCATCAAATGCCAATCAGTTTTTCAAAAAAGCATCGTTCCGATGTTTCTATTGTCGCATCACTTGTTTTATCGTCATATTCCAAAATGTCTTTGGCATGTTCGAGGGTTGCTGCTGCCAATTCGCCGACTGTCCACTTGCGGTCTAATAAAACACGACACACAGTGTCCAACTGATGGGAAACATATAGTGATTAAATAAATGAAAAACTTTTCATCGTGGTCTTTCTCTCTCTTTCTATTTACCTTTGCTAACTTTTCGTGGCCTGATGTATTGTAAATTAATACTGGTAAACCTGCCAGACTGGCCGACATCCATTGAATGACAAGTTTCAGCTGCACATTACCTTGTTTGTGGCCGCAACCCCAATTGCCCGTCGCCACTGCTGCAATGCCATCCTTCTTATTTAGACGGTGTTTGTTCATCTGTGCAATCTGTCGAAAATTAATGAAATATTTATTGAGTATCACACTCAAAACACGTTTCTATGGTCGATAAAGTGACAAAATGAAAAAACGGTTTATGTTTCCACCAAATCGCAATTGTCAATAACCAAAATGTACTCAACGGAATGACTCTTCACATTGATCCATCTCCGATTGCCATGCATTCTATGAAAGTGCCACTTGATCGCGTAATGGTTTTTAGTGTCTTTGGAATATGTCCCAAAATTACAACAGACATTTTAATGGACTAAGCGCGATAAGCAATTGTAGCAGATAAAATCAACAATGTGAATATTTAAATGTATCAGTTGATTCCAAATCACAAAGCTGATGGGAATGAATTTAATTTGCGCTTCGCGATTCTTTTTTTTTGCAAGATGGTCGATATTAGGAACGTTAAGCAAACAAAACCACATATTTATTTACCTTCACTTTGAAATCGTCACAGTTGACAATTTGCTGAATTTCATGTGACGTTATCGACCATTGCAACGACTGTTTTTGTCTTGGTCGTGTTACAATGCAGTGATTTGTGATCGATTGCGATGGCAACTGGTTAACCGTATTATTACTATTATTTTTGTAGGTTGAAACTGATTGTTTTGGTAACGTTGGCTGCACCGCTTTCGTTGTTTTTAGATAGCGTTTGATAATTTTAGCCAACATTTCCACTAAATCATTCTGTGTAAATTGGTATTTGACGAGGAAAACAATTAATAATGATTGCATTTTCGACTCATTCGCTTTTTAATTATTGTCTTTTTATGGGACGAAAAATGTGTAAAATCAAACAAATTATTGTAGAAAAGCACGAATTTTGTTCTTTCATTTCGAAATCGTTCGTTCTCACCCGTACAAAATGGATTTTATCAGTGTAATTGAGTTGTTTACTTTTGATTTTGGTATGACTCACACCACTCAATTGAATTCATACATTTATTCTAGATTATGAACGAATATTGAAATGTGTCTTACTAGTTGCGCGGCGAGGCGGTGTTTGTGTTTCGCCACTTCCAATGACTGCGATCGTGCACTTAGAATTTGTCTGTTCTTCTGCTTATCTTGATAGTTTTGCATCGAATTCTCTTCGGCTGGAATACCTGCGCAGGATTGTAATAATTAAATTCGTTTTTTTTGCCAACAAATATTATTCATTCATTACATTGATGTAAACTTACATGCGCTGGAAATGCAGCCTTCAGTTAATGGTACACCGACAAAACTCTCACTCAGTGTTCGTTTCAGTAGCCCGCTGGCAAAATTGAGAACGGCCTCATCGCGTGGATCCAATTTGTCCACATTTTCTTTAATAATTGGATCGTCCAACCACTTGCTAAACTGTTCGTACACTTCCTCCAGCTCCGAGCTGAACTCCGATGAATCATCCTCATAATTATACTTTGTCTTTTCGCCCGCCGTCACATTGGCATTATTATCAGTTTTAACAGCATTCACTGTGGATGGAATTCATTTGGAACATCAAGTGAATTACTTGTTTGATCAAGAAGAAATAGTCCAATGTGCTTACCATTCGAAAATTTATTCTCATATTTTTCTAGCCAAGTTTGGCTTTGGTTCACCGATTCCATAAAAAATCCCTCGTCCAATGAGTCGTCGTTGAGAACAAAACCACGGCTACCACCACGTTTAATCCTGAAATTTCAAATGATGTTCTAACATTGCAAGCAACTGCAAATTATTCAATGGACACAAACCTAATTCCCTCATCGGCGTCGGTTCGTGATCCTGATATGCTTATGTCAACTGCGTAGCTGTCCTCTGTGCTTTCGGTGTATTGTGTGTCTGAATGCCTCAAAGCATCTCGCAATTTTTCCGCAAATGTGTAATGCCTAGCGGTTTTCATCGCTTCCGCATACTTTTCACAATCCGAATCGTTCCAAACTGAAAATGAAGGGAATATTTTGTAATTTTCAGTTAAATATGAACTCCAATCGTTTCTAGTTGATTGTTTTTGTTTTTACCTTCAACAAAATCATCAAAACTTGTTCTCGCGCTAAAATACATTTCTTCGCCGACATCATCGTGCCCATCGCTGGAATTGCAACTGGAGTAAGTGCTGTTGCTGTCCGTCCGATTTGTCGATGATTTAGCAAACATTTGGCGTTTTGCAGTTGTTCTGTTAACTGGTAAGCATTCACCAGAGGAGCCTAATACTATAAACCGACCACGTCTACCGGATGCAGTTGGTCCTTGAATCAAAAGTATCAGACTCATTTTCAATAAACATTCGAAAAAATCAAAATGATGATGATGAGACGTACCTGTAACGACACTACCACCATCTTTACTGCTACTTCCACCCATTGGACTGGCCACCAGCCACGATCTTCGTTTCTCGATGTTGTTCGCAATGCGATCCGAGTCATAACTGGACCGCTTTGTACTCGTTGATGGTTGTCTAATGATGATCTGGGTTATGTCTTTTGGTGAATTTCGGCCGCTTTCACCAATGGGAGACAATCTTTTTTGGGCGCTATTTCGATCTTTATCGATAACGGAATCAGACTCATGGTTGCTTTCAATCGATGGCATTGAGTTGAGGCGACGATTGATGCGTTGGTTGGTTTTTGGAATAATTGGGCAGGTTGTGTTTTGGCGAAAAGCGAGCAAACATTTATTCAATTCTCTTAAAACGTTATCCTCTTCAAACTGACTATCGGGGTAATCGCAGTAATTCTCTGCGTCCATCAAGCACACAGAAACCTAATGGAAAACAAACGTCATCAGTAGAAAGAAAGTTGTCTCACAAAAAAAAATGCGACGTTTATTTCAAACCTTTTTAGGTCGATCCAAATTTTCCAAGAACGGTTGCTTATTCGAATCGATTGAAATGCGGTTAAATTGTCGTACATTTTCAACAAACACCACTTCATTATCCTCTAGTGCTTCAACGTATAATAAAACTGCGATTAATTCCGGAAATAGAGAGAATTCTAAACATTCCTGTTGAATAGAAATAATTCGCATGAGCAAAGAATGGCATGAGACTACGATGATTACTAAGCACTGTTTAGTAAACAATGGACATGTTATGACATACTTGAGACCAGCCGTTTGATAAAAAATCACCTCCCAATCGAGTACTGGCAAAAACGGTTTGCACAACATTGTCTTCGGATCGCTCTATGCGTCCTTCATGCTTTACTTCCAATGCACACAGCGGCACGGTACACTCGAGCCAGTCTTCTATAGTTAACCATTGTTTGCCACTAAACACTTTTCTAGAAACTTTCATAAACGTATTTGCATCGTCCGTTGATGCGTCGGTAGCACTCTTTGCCCCTTGACTTTCCCGCATTTCATCCTGTGCAGTTGCTTGCGATTCCAACCAGTCAAAGTATTTGATAAAACTTTGAAATTTCACCTTTTGATGTGGTCTGTGGGGCAAGGAAAAAAGAGAAACACACAGAGAGAGCGAATCATTTCGATGAAATACGATCACCAGAAGTTGTGTAAATAGTCAACAAAAATCAGCACTTACTCATTTAAATTCCGAAAAAAGTTGGAAAAATTAAAGTCTTGCAATGTGGGATGTGTTTTCTCCGTTCGCTTCGGAAATGTCGAGAAAAAGGCATTTGCCAAAAGTGCTGCCACCAAATCGTAGCTTAATTTCACTTTATCCGCTGAAAAGATTGAAAGAAAGAAAAAACTCAAAACACTCCGAAAATAAACAAATCATCTGAAAAACAACAATTGAGGCTGTGAGAATGAAATTGGCAATACAGGAATAAATATTCTGAAACGCATCAAGAAAAAAATTTCGCTAAAATGAATCATGAGTTCTGAATATGCAAAAGTGAAAAATGAATTTACATGGGCAGCATAGGAGGTTCATGGTTCACTTTTGCATATTTAGAACTCATGATTCACTTTTGCGAATTTTTTTTTTATGCGCTTCAGAATGTTTATTCCTGCATTGCCATTTTCATTCTCACAGCCTCAATTATGCCGGCGAAACTCAAAAGAATTTACATACGTTGTTGTTGCAAACTGAAACTAAGTCCACGTGGCGGCCGAACTGCCTTTAAACTTTGTGCTCGTTTCGCTAAATTACGAATCGTTACCGTTTTAAATCGTTGACACTCTTCATCCGTCATTTCGTTGAGCATATAATTTTTTAATCCATCGAATATAGTCGCATCGCGTTTATCTTCATCTGGATCAAGACTGACACTGTTCATTTTCAATTTACAAAAAAAATAGAAGAAAATAATCATCACCTTGTCTTCGTACCGATTCCATTAAATGGTCATAAATAAATTAAATTTCTCTCTAAGAAAGATTCTTACTTGCATAGATCGTGAATGCGTAGCATAATTTCGAGAATCATGTACGTGTCATCAGTTTGTTGTAACAATGTAAGTCGCTTACATATGCTCGACCACCAAGGTAGATCGCACGGCAACATTACCAAAGCCATTTTTCAAAGCCGTTTAACTGTCTCCAGTTCTACTTATTAGTCAATTTAATTTACATGAATTCAAAGTGTTTGTATTTTTTTTCTTTTCTTGTTGTTGTTTTCAGCTTTGTTTCATTCAGTCTTTTCTACAAATTCAGACTTCAAGAATCAATTATTCAGACACTCTGCTTCACTTTATGAATTCAATGCTCCTAACGTGTTCTTCGTTTCATTTACATTGTTCCTAATTTGATGTTTGCCTGTAAAAAAATTCGTGTGAGAAAAATAAAAGTTAATACCAATTCCAACACGCTGTTTGTGTGAATCAGTTATTTTTTTTGTATGTTCAAAAGATTATTGTCCAGCCTGGTAAGGCCGGACGTGAAAAAATTTCATGTTAGACTCCTTGGTGTGCCCCTCTAAACAGAAATCTTTAGTAAAAGGCGAAAGATTTATTTGAAGTTGAAGAGAGACCAGAGTGATTCAACCAACGATTCCGTTGGCTATTGTCAGTGCGGCGCATACGTTGCAACAGCGAATTATAAAAGTACACAAACGCAATAACGCACATTCGACGTCAGAACAGAGGCTTATTGCTCTTTATGTTTGTTCTCTACTGCGTTGTTACACATAAATGCGTCGAACGTGGATGAAATATATACGAATGGACTGTTGAATGTCGTACAACGTACATGAATCATGTTTTCGGAAGGTCTTTGTTTGAACACATTCGCATGTTCCTCTTTCTTCATATCGATTTAATTCACACGAATCAAATATTTATTTTATTTTACTGAATTTAAATTTTGAAAAGACAAAATTGTGAATTGTTTTGACACGTTATGGGAAAACGAATCGTAAAACATATGAGCTGTGGAAAGATGCCGCTCAAAAATAAATTTCATTTGATGTGGATCCGGCAAAAAGAAATATTGGAAACAACGTAGCCGGGATCAATAGTCGGTTTGTAAATCATTGGAAACGAATGAGTGCTAACTAACACGCACACACTTCATTGTGCACAATTTTTTCCCCAAATTTTGAAAGACACCATATCATTACACATAAACGACGTAAATAGGTCGCGTAATAGAGAGAAATGTCGTAGGTCATGTTCACCGTAAATCTCATTTATCGATTTTATTTTTGAACTACTCGCACAAAACGTCGAATTAATAAACACGCCTGTGCGTTCCCGTTTCGATAGAGATATACTCTGCGTTGTGCGTACTCAGCAATATTACAATACGGTTCGGTTTATCGTATTAAATGAGATTCGCAATTATTTCGGAGAAATTTCAGTTTTCATTCCGAAGAAAAATAAAAATGATTTTTTTTTTGTTGAGTAAATAATCTTTTTCAGTTGAATTGCAATTTAAACACAATTTATTCTGAAATCAAAACTCGGTTCTTGTATTTATCAGTGCTGCATTCGTATTTTCGCTCCCCTTTAGCATGTCTTCTAATTGTGCTAATTCTTATTACAAACGTATGTGTTTGTATATTAAGATATCTGGTAGCATTTGAGAGCAATAGATCAAAATGAGAGGAGAAAAAGAGCAAAAAAAGAGTATCACACGAAACGACCGAAAGAGCGTAGAACTGAAATAATAGTAGGCAAACGGCAGCGGCAACGAACATGAATAAAAACAACGCGAGAAGCACACAAATTGTGAAAATCGTATAAATACTCTTTCTCTCTCTCTCTCTCTCTGGTCCGCCACTTAATAGATATTGTATGTTTGAAAATCATCGTCTCATGTGCACACAGCAGCTATTTTTAAACACTCCACTGAAATAAAGGAAGACACAGAGTGCTTCATTTCTTTTTTCTCTTCTCTTCGATTCTTGTTTCCCTCCGTCTCGTCATATCCATATGCAGAAAATACAGCATATAGTAGTTAATCTTTTGTTTGCGTTATATATTTAGTAGAAATTTTATTTGCTGTATGGATTTCGAATCGATAAAATTATGAAAAATCGTTCTTTCGTCTAATCGGCTGATGAAGAAACACACAAATTAACTGAACTGAACTCATTTTTACGCAGATACACATTTTCACTGATTCGTGTGTTCTTGCAAAATGGATTGTTTTGAAAATATTGATCACCTCTTGTTTGCATTTGTTGTGCCCGCAAAACTTCAAATCACTAGCAAAATATTTGGTATCTATTAAATTTTTCGTCATTTCCATCCGAAAAATGATTTAAACTGGCTCTTTGTCACTGTTCATTGAGTTGCCGACAGGAAAATAATCGAGCACTTCTGCCTGAGATCGTTCGAACTGACGACTTGGTTACGTGATGCTGCAAACATAAAACCAGCCTCAGCGAATATAAATAAAGACTAAACGACTGAGAAAATTATACGGGAAATTCTGTCTTGTTTTCCCTGATGCTGCATGCCGTTCACGTTTCACTCTTTGTATACGTTTATACGTTCCTGCACCACAACTGTATTGGTTTTAATATAGCCGCTCAATTGTGTGTATTCGATTCCTACAAAAAGGATTCCGGCCCGTGAGATAGTACGTATTATCATGAACGTTTTGTTTGACCGTATTATTAAATTCAAAGAGAAAGAAGAACTATACTTGGTAAAATGCCCTACTGAAGCATTGTGCCTTCTTATATATTGCTACTCTATTATTATACGCGTATTTATTTATATTTCAGCTGAAGTGTAAATTAATGTTTCGTGATCAATTGTGTGTGTGGTCGGTTTTAATTGAACGTGAATATCAAAAATAATTTCTCTATTTTATTGGCGACTTCTTAGTATGTGGATTCGAATTGAATTCTAGATTAATGGCGGGGGGATTTTTGCAGACATGGTTAGTGATTTTAAGACAAACACTTCACGCCAAATTGATAAAGAATCACAATTTCTCACTTGAATACAGCACAACGAATGCATATGATGTCTTACTGAAACTTCCAATATCATCAACGAAAAATGCTTGAATTCAGCGACAATTCACTCAAATTAAATATAGCAACTGAAGAGTTTGCATGTTTTCGCTATTGACCAGAGTGAGCGGTAGAACATGTAATTTTCATGAAAATGAAATACTATTAAAACCCATTTGCGATTGAAATCATATGTGCGAACACAGTATGCTATGATGTATATTTGCTCATGATATTTTATTAGGCGCGCTTTTAAATTAGTAATGCTTTTGTGTTTGCTCCATTTTACGATATTACGCGTCTATTTCACACATGTATATATAGAAAGGAAAGAAGAAAAGCGAAAAATTGACGATGTCGAAATGAAAGAGCATAATACGTTGAAATCATGTGCCAGTTAGACCAAATGAATTTCGTTTTATGTTTATAAATATATACGTGTGTTCGTAAGCATTCGATTGACGTCATAGATGCGCAGTAAACTTGAGCGCTGATTTTCGTGTTTGTGTGCTGCGAGTGAAAGAGTCTGTGATTTCCGTTTTGCCAGTCGTTTTTCCTCTGTTATCGGTCGTTTTTGTTCGGTGGCGATGATGTTCTGCACATATTGCATTATCTCGTGCGCTATTGTTCTTATGTGTCTCACATTGCGCGTTTCACAATAATGCAATCGGCGGAGTGTCGTTTGAAGCGATGACGTGAGCAATGGGAAAATGTTACGTCACACACATTCCAACGACCATCTCACAATGATGCTTTCGGCATAAGAGAAGCCACACAGACACACACAACACATACATATAGATGAGAATAGGCAGGAAAAGAAGAAAGAGACACGGGAGACGTTTTTTTTTCTCGAATGTCGAAAATAATAATTTTGATCCCTAAAACTATTAACCTGAAATTAGGCATTAAAATTTTCGCATCGATTTAATTTCAAATCGTCACTTTGTTTGATTTAAATTTTTATTTGGTAGGCGAATTTATTCCCAATGTATGTATGACAGACACTTTTTCTGAATTTGTAATTTGAATTCGCGACAGAATGAGTTCACTTCTGAAAAATGTATGTTCTTGAGGAGCATTTAAAAATAAATGAACGAAAAACGGGGATGTAGTTTATAATTTATATCAATTTACCAATTCGGTTGATATGGCACTGTTTTATCGATTGCGAAAAAAAAAACATTTGTACAATCGAATTTTAAGTCGTAATTCATCGATAGACTTTTTCTCTCGCTACTGTGTGTCCTTTTTCAGTCCCCAATTTTTGGTTCAACTAATTTGTATATTGTCAAAAGGTTACTTCACTAAACGATGGCACATCATAATGTTTTAGAAAATGTTCTATAAAAAACAGGATTAGAACACACTGACTGACAAAACACCGCCGCCAATACACAGCGATTTTCACTTGAAGCACGTTCGCGCTGCTGGCGTTGGAAAAACTGACTAAATGCGAATGAAAACTGTGTTCAAAACCTGTGGCCGGATCGGAGCGGTTCGTTGCGATTCACGCAAAACTGATGACGTCCGGGGAAATGATGATGATTATTTTTACGCTGTGCGCTATTGTGCACGCACTGAAAACGTATGAGGAGGAAAACCCGGCATTAGGACACCAAAGAATGACGACACAGTCATCGGTAGTCGGTTGTACGGTGTATGATAAGCTCTCATCGTACGAAAGCTTGCGCATTTGCCATACACAACCGAGTGAGTCTTCTTGAACTGTTCGAAAAAATAAAAATACACACGAATCATGTTCGTTGTTTTCATTTGCACAATCCCCTTTGTAAATAGTGGCTGTAATAGTAAGACAAATTAAATATTTATGTCAAAATGACGTGCATTTCGAAGAATTATTTGTAGTTCATTGACATCGTAACTTGATATGGATATCAACATCGAAAATGAGGTGACTTGAGCTCTATGTTTGGGAGTGGGCGACACAGAAAAAAAAACAACTACATCTAATTATCGATAATTTCAATGAATTTATTAGTATTGTATGTTTATATTCTCAAAGATATTAAAAGCTAGTAGTGTAATTTTGAAATAATTTATCTATGCATGAAATTTAGGAATTCCGACTGATAAATAAACAATAACTTGTGAAATGGATACGATTTTAAATCTAGATGTGTCTTTTTCCTTCACAATATCTCTTCGTGCGTTCAGAACATGCAACATCGATAATGAGCTGAAACGGTTGCTGGAATTTCGCTTGTTTTCCTTTCACCATCTGCTGTCATCAAATGATATCAAATTAGGCTTTAAGTGCCCGTGTTAATTCATTGGAGGGGAATATAGCGAAATCTCCTTTGACAGCTCGGTGCGGCTTCCGTTGTAGATACTCGTGCACTACCTCTGATGTCAAATGCTCAACACGTGCCTGAAAATCGATTGATATTCAATAAAATTTCCACTCCTAAGGCCATTTCTAGGCCAATTTATTTTCACTTACTTTAATTTCTTCTCTGATCTGACGCTGTTTGTTCTGGTGATCATGCAACAACTTCGAAATGTTTGTACGGGATGAATTTGCTTGTGGGATCTCAGAACCCTTTGCCAACGAAATAATGTAATCCTATAAAAAAATATGAAATGATCAACAAATGCATTCATTATTATTCACATTTTGTTTTGTTGTTTTGCTCTTACGTGTTTCACTTTCATCAAATCTTTTTCCAATTCGCTGATTCGATTGTCTTTGGGTTTTGGAACATGAATCGGCGTCAAATTCTTCAGAATCCTCTCCATTTCAGCTGCTTGAATTCTAATACGTTCGGCACGTTCATCATGCAATGCTTTCTTTAGAATGGTGAGCTCTTGGGCTACAAATGGAGTTGAAGCTGCCGTATCTGCGGAATTGTGTCATTCATGTTCAAAGAATGAATCAGGTGGATTAATACAAACAATTAAAACTTGAAACTTTTCCAAAGTTCAAGTGATAGCTTAAAAGTATAATATAGAATATGTACCGAAAGTGATTGGTTGTTTGACATCACCCTTCTTCACGCTATGTGCTTTTAGGTTTTCGCGCAGGTGATGACGTTCAGATTCCAATGAATCGATATCCTTCTGCAGATGATTCATAGCATCCTCGTATTCTTTCTCTTTCCTGCAGAGAGCAAAATGAATTAAATCATATAATTTGTATGACGTCAATCCGAATTGGATTTAAATGTAAAATGTCATCATACTTTTTGAGCTGTTCAGCCACTTCGTCGCGTTGGCGTTGTAGTTTTTCAGTAGTCTTTTCGAATTCTTGTTGTATGACCGACACTTTCTTCTCGGCCAAATCTTTGCGATATTGCATCTCCGACAACTCTTGCACCTTCAATTTCGAATCGACTTTGAGTTGACGTATGTCTGCCTCTCGATTCTCGACCGTGGCTTTGAGTGCTTTCGTTTCTTCCATTTGCTTTTTCACAAATTGTGCACGCAAAGTGATTGGCGGCTGTGGTTTCTCTTGTTTGGCTGCTGAGGTGACCGACAATATTTCGTATTCGTTGTCGAGTAAGTACTGAGCCAACTGTGCGATATCGGTGTTTGTTGTCGAGAGAGCGGTTTTCAAATTTTGCGATGGACCACGATCATCTTGTTCGTACACTTTTTCACATGCAATGGCCAACAAATCCAAAATTTTACTATTAGGCACTGTAACCGTTGTGATATCTTCGGTTGCCTCGGCAGCATTCACTGAAATCGTATGCAAAATGGATTTCGAAGCGTTGAAGAGAGTGTTCATTGCCTTGCCAAGTTGTTCGTTAGTTTGACGAAGCGTTGCAATGGTTTTGTCAGACAGTCCACAACGGATAATGGATGAATCTTGAGGCAAACGACGTTTGACTAATTTCAATTGCTGTCGAATCGACTCAGCCTTTTCTAATGCGTACTGAAGCAGAAGGCCAGATTCGGATGTTTCATCGCCACCTTTGATCACCGATTGAATCATTGCACTATCGGTGCTAATCGAGTCGCATGCCGATTGTATCGAAGAAACAGTGTCCCGAACCAACTGAGTTTCATTAAGCAAGGTATCGTCAACACCGAGTAGCACCGAGTAGATGGCATTAAAGAATAATACGGCTTTTTCGAGGTTATCGGTCGATGAATTTTCATCCAGTTGATTGGCTTTTAGCAATTCGACAATACCATCGATGACTTTCTCCTGAGCTTGCATTTCAGGCAAAGATTGACCCGTCTTCAATAGGAGTTCTGGTGTGCATGCATTCAAACCATACAAAAATTGATGCATAACACATTTTAGATTATGAATATGATGAAGAAGACGCGATTTAAAGGCAAATTGTTGAACAGTATGTCCCTGAACGACAGCGTTGCGCTCGATTGTGCCCACAGCTGGGAAGCGTTCACGAGCCTGTCCAATGATTATATCTGTTTTGGCCACAATACGCGAAACGAGCAAATTAATCTGAATGGCATCGTAATCACCGCCACGGCTCATGAATGTGCCTGGCATGAATGACACTAAGAGCCGAACATGTTCAGTTGCCTGGCTCAATTCGATTTGACGTAGTTGCAAATCGATAGCACGTGTGTAGGCCTTTGATTCGGCAAACATCTGTTTGAAATCGATTGCTTCGACAATCTGGTTGGCATTACTCTTGCTCGTATCGGATTTACTGTCTTGTGCATTCGAGGCACGATCCCTCAATTCGGTCATTTGTTCGTTCAATTTGTGCACAAGCTCACGGAATTTCAAAATCGTTTGGTCCCGATCCACAATCGTTTCGATTGCTGCATCTTTTTCGCGTTGCATCTGCAATTGATGAAATAACCATTTATTGATCGAATTTCAAGTGAATATTGTAATGAATATACCTCGCGTCGAGCAGCTTGTGCCATGTCTAGTTCCTCTCGCAAATCCATCTCTAGTTCGTGATTACTTTCCACCAATTGTTCATGCACTTCTTCCAAGGCTTCAAGCTCGCGAATTTCCTCTTCCAGCAATTTCACCTTAAATTAGAAAAGAACAAATCCAATAATTTCACAAATAATTTCTACGGAAAGAGTTTCCATGATTACCTTATCATCCAGTTCCATTTTCTTTTCAGCCAGCTGTTCCACCATTTCGTCGGCACCGAGAGCAGCGTCAACTTGTTCATGTAAATCGATCAATTGTGTTTCCAATTCATCGATCTTAATCGACAGCTTCTCTTTTGTTTGCTGCAACTCATTGACTTCGGATGTTTTTGTTTCCAATTCCTTGGTAATTTTCTGGATTACATGTTTATCATGTGCCGATAGATCTCTCAATCGAACCAATGTTTCGCGAAGCCGCTCATTTTGCTGTGTCAACTGTTTAACTTCAAACGATTTGTCACCTCCGACAGTGATTGCAGCCGAGTCACCAATTGGATCGGTGGCTCCTAATTTATTTTCCATTTCCGCTTTCATGATTTGTAAATCTAGCGTTAATTCTTCAATTCGCTCTTTAGCTGCTTCGAGTTCTTGATTCAAGAAATCCGCTTTCTCTTCAGCCATTTCCTTATCCAATGTGATCATTTCAACATTTTCCGATAATTCAGACATTTCGTCGGCATGACGATTCTTCTCATCGATAGCATCTTTCGTTTCCTGGCGTGCTCTCTGTAGGTCACGTTGCAGTTGAGTTTGTGCTTGCATTATTTGCACTTTAAATTCTGCCATTTGTTCAAATTGCGTTTTCATTTTGTCAAATTCACGGAAACGCTCCTTGTCTTCGTTGCGTCTTTGTTTCAAAGTTTCAAATTTTTCGGTCAAGTCACGAATTTGATTGCGTAAATCGTCATTTTCCTGTTGAAGCTGAAGTAGATTAATTTTCTCTTCAACCGAATGCTGTGCAGTCAGAGCAGGTGATGTGATTGGCTGGCCTGGAGTGAATTGCGGCTTTAGTGTTTCCAAGAATCCAGTTTCGACAAATGATTCGCGCTTTGAAGGTGGCCCTCCTGCTGGTGCTGCTAATGCATCTGGTGGAGAGTTCATGTTGCGACGTTCCGGCTTCTTCGTGAGATCCGTTGTGCTTTGTGACGGCGTTGTTCGTTCACTGGGAGTGGACAATTGAGTGCGTGATCCACTCAAGGATTGACGACTTCCAGCCAAGGAGAGTCGAGAGCTGCGTTTCGGTTGAAAAATTATGAACAGATCAGATTAATAATGTGATCGAGCTGAATTGATGATATTTTGCACGAAAATAAGTTTGAAAAAATATCCCACATCCAAAAATAGAATGAAAACAAAAAACACCAAATAACATATTAGGGACTATGTTGAATGATTTCAAACCTTGAGTTCGATGCCAATGATGCAGCATCGTCCGTATTTTTCGACTTGGATTGTAGCGTTTTGATCGGCGATTTTCTTCTTATACTAATATTTAAACCATTCAAAATACAGACATTGTTCGGAATGCACGAAGAGTCAAGCAACAATTAGTTAATTGGTTACAGAGAACACATGTTCAATGATAGCATTAGCGAAAAGGACAGAGAGAGAGACAGAGAGATACAGTGTGTTAGAGAAAGACATGTGTTAAGACATTTTATGTAGAATAATTCAAAATGAACGGAAAAGAATATCAAAATGATGAGTGGAAAATCATGGAAAAGCAATATCATGTTTATTGAACAAGATACTCACGTTGTCAGACGCGTACTTGCCGCCGAACGAACGGTACTTGCACTAATCGCAACAATGTTAAGTTTTACAGGGGGAATTAAATACAGTTAAAAAATACAAATAAGAGTACAATTAAACGGTTAAAATGAATGGCACAAGCAATTGGATAGGTGTTATTTTAGTTAATAATGCAATTTCAGGCACGTTTACATTAAACCACAAGCAAATGCGAACAGCAATGAATGCATTACATTCATAAAAATGAATGATTATAAATCTAAACTGTATTGAATGTTAGTCGATAATACCTGCTCAAGCGTGATCGTTGTGGCTTTTCTTCAGCTGGATCTTGGACAGGGTTTCCAGCTTCATCGAGTAGAACTAGTTGCGTGGGTCGCACGAACATTCCATGATTTTCAGCACACTATAGAAAATGAAAATATTTGATGCATTTCCATACAAGCTAAACTGTGTGAACTTCAGAGCACAAAGAAAAAGATATTTTCGAAACTAGGCGAGGAACTATTGTGTTCACTTACCGTGAAATATGAAGTTCCTTGAATTGTTCCATTATTTTTGCCTTTTGGCTCATTTAGCACTACACCAGCCCATTTGCCAGTGGCAAATGTTGTCATCCCAATGTAGGCTATTTCACCGCGTATATTTTTGCCAGCAACCTCCACCTTTTGACCCACACGAAACTTTGGTTCTGACATCGTTCACTCTATTACAGCAATTCTAGTTCTGAATGAAAAAATAATCATTTGCACAAAAATGTAAAATTAGTTTGGTTTGGCACAACATATTTGTGATGGCCTTTCATCTGGCCTATAGAAGAAAAAAAAACTCAATATAAACTACCGATACGTCAATAATTAATGTTTACACTTGAAATTCCAATATTTCATATATTTGACAAATGCAAAAATTATAAAATTATATTCATTGTAGCCTACCTTTAACTACGAATAAAATTGAGTATTGATAAATGTTGATTTTCCTTTCGCTTGTTTCTTGAGTTTTTATCTAGTTATTTTGCACTATTCAATGATTCAGTCATCACTACCGTATATACAAAACTGATGAAGTGAATGCATTACAATAGGTGGAATCGTTTCTATTTTTTGACAGTATAACACTTATAACAGAAACGTCATCCCATCTGACAGAGTAAATGTTATGTCATTCGGAAGAGTCAAAGTAAAAAATATTGTGAGTGCGAGGAAATTTTTCCATTCTTTTTCGCTTTTTTTGAGTCAATGAATTATTTGAATCAAATTGAATAGAATAGATTTCGATAGGTTTTTTGATGATTTTTCATTTGATATTAAATTGAAACCATTTCTGATCATGTTTTTGTGAAAATTTACCTAGGAGTTTTTGTTTTGGTTTAACCTCAATCACATCCCTTTATGCGTATAAGTTTCTATCAAAACAATTTATTTATTTATTTTTGTGTTCAATTTCAGAACTGTTTGGAGTAACATAATTAGCTTTCAAAAATGAGTGGTGCAACATCAAAATTGAACGCCATCCAGCGTTTGTTCCGTTTCACCGGAATGGAGAAAGGAATGGGAAGCTTATTTGGCTGCGTAATTGTTGGATTTAACATTGGTGCCCTCATTGATCGTTCAGACACCAACAGCATGGTCATCTTCCGCGATAAAAGCGCACTGTATGGTGGTCGCGTGAAAGAAGGCGATAAACCAAGCTGGCCATCACAAGAAGTTTACTGGACATAAATAAAACGAAAATACCGCCGACCTGGCATGGAATTTCTTTCATCTGACAGTAAACACGAGATACTTTGTTGCTTTGAATGGATGCCAGTCAAATCATATAGATAAACTTATGTAAAAAAAAAAAATCTGCAATTAAAAAAAAATATCATAGTTGAAAAAGCCAAAAATGCCGTCAATCTTTTTTATTAGCGCTTTAGCAACGAGTCACACAGTTCGTGACTCACAAATCTCCAAATAGCAAGTTATGGCGAATGTGGAAGTATTAAAATTGTCTCAAAACTAAAGCAAAATGTTTCAGTAAATATTCTAAAAACCCATACATATGAACAAACCGCTATGGTGCGCTTCAATTGATATTTCGGTTAATCCCCGAATATAAATGAATCCGATGTGTTTGTCGATGAGTTTCCCTTGAATAATACATTTCCTGAGTTCATTGTAGAGACTGCGATAGTTTGTTTTATTGACAAATACAAAGGAAAAAGTGACGAATAAATTTTGCAGACAATAGGTAATGAAATACGCATGAATGTACGTAAAGCTAAATTGTAAATGAAACCTCTCTTCGTGTGAAACATGTATTGAACTGAAGTGTCGGTTAAAAAGTTTATTCAGTTGTTTTTGTAGAAGAAAAACAGCAAAAAAAATCTCGACTGATTTGAACCAGACGAAGAAGCGACAATGCTTTAGCGCCATTGCGTTGCGATGGTTAAGTTGAATGAAAGAGAAAGCGTTGACCGAGTTTAATGCGTCACTGTCTAAAGCGATGATAAGATTCATAGTCTGAAAATTTATAAATTGAATGCTAAAAAAAGGCGACAATATTTCAGAAACAATGACTAATAATCGAGAATAAAGAATTCGTTCAAATTTTATGGGTGCTAATTATTGAATTATTCAGTTTGCGGTAAATAAAATCTCATAAATATTCTTGTCCGAACATTCGTCAAATACACGCACACCAATGCGAATGGCGGTAACAATTGATCATGCATTATGTGAAACTATTGTTTGCACAAATTTCAACACAGACACATAGCCAACTCATGTGCAGTGGCATCACATCGACGGCATTTATGAATTTCAGTTTACTTGATAAACATTCAAATACATCAAAGTAAAAAGCAGTATACATGGTGAAACGAAACGAAGCAACACGCACACAATGGCACGGAGCACACTCTGCAATCGAGTAACATTCGAAATCAAACACCGTGCGTGAGTGTTTATATATACGGTGAAACCAGTTTCTCGTTAGTTGTGCTACGTCTTTTGTGGTAATCGGTTCGTTGTGAAAAGTGCTGAGTGAAAATTGATTTTTTAAACTTGACCATTGAATACAAGTGACGAAGATTCTATAATTCAATTAGACAAGGTACTAATGTATTTAATTGAAGATTGTTTTATTACGTCCCAGAATGAATATTGTGTGGAATTTTACAAGAAAACCATATTGGTATGGCAGTGCCATAGGCACTTTTAAGTGTAAAAATCAGACCAATATTTTGGTGAAACGTGACACAATTGAAATATGATTTCAATTTCGTTTTTGTAGTATTTGTAGAAGATCTAATTTTAAATCAAAATAAATGGCATACAGCAATGGGCCTTTCTCCAATGGGGAATACCAATTGTATAGAACGCGGACTGGAACATTCATTTATGAAATTATTCGTCTTAACATTATACACTTTCGAAAACACTTACAATTCCAATGAAATACACGCTCAGTTTTATTGCCAAAAACACATTTTAAAAAAAGTCGAAAATTTCGTGCAATTTTTTCTCTTCTGAACGATCGATACAGTTTTCTTTTTGTCGAATTTCTCTTATATCCGTGTCAAAGTAGTGTTATTGTTCAACTCATCTCTCACTTCTCTTACGTTTTGGCTTTTCCATTCATTTATTGGTTGTTGTTTTTTTTTCCTTTACGACATGCTGCCATGCTCATATATAGTGTAATACAATACACATATCGTAGAAAGCCCGATCCGGTTAAGTGAACAAAATTCGTAGCGCTTACGCTCCCACCTGTATTTTTACGGCTGTTATTCACGTTTTGGGTATTTCCGAAATTATGGCGAGTTTAGTATCTCAAACAGTGAACATATAGAGACGTCAGCTGATCGAACATTTAAACAAGAAAAACGTAGAATCGAGTACAAAATATGAACACTTTGTTTTCTAACTGTGAGTATCATGATTATCGATGACATTGAGATCGATATAAGCATCCAAGCAAGCGAAAAAAAAATTCAAATTCGTGAACAATAGCATTTTAATGGTCGAAATGACGCCACAACCTTAAAACTACACATTTTTTCTATTTTATTTATATTCATTGTTCAGGTTTTGCCGTAGTTATCGATCAATTGCTTTTGTTTGGTTTTGGCGACTTACCGTCCTGTTTCGGACGATGACGATCTACTAGCGTATCTTTGGTTTTTTTTCAGAATCTTGTTTTGTTCCGTTAACGCGAACAAAGAACATAGTTTCTTTGCCATACTGGTCAACATTTTTTCTCTCGATAATAATATCTACTACGAATTTGATGAATTGAATATATAGATTAGTTTTGATACATTTTTTTACCACTTGCGTACAATTTGATTGTATCGCTGTCGAGTGACGAATGAAAAAAAGAAAGCAAAATGCCACCTTTAAAAGAGAATCAATGGCATAGAAAATGCTCCGATGTTTCGGATGTTGCACTGTGATAACGATTGATTCATTTCCCCGGCATTTGCACAGCCGGAAGTAATCGGATATTTTTTTATTGCATAAGATAATGCTTAGCCATTTACAAGCGTGATATAATTTACGGAGTAGCTGAAACCAAACAATTTTCAAATTGTTATCGTAGCTGAACTATCGACAGACATAAATTAGAATTAGAATGTCCTTCAGTGAGCATTCTTAGCAACCAATTCGATTATAAGTTCAAATGGCACCATTGGCTTTATTACTTTAACATTCGACGCAATAACAAGTTCAATCTAAAGTTGATTCGATTCTAAAAATATCCAAAATTTTATAGATTTTCGTCATCACTTCAACATGTTTTTTGAATAAATGTCGATCGAGGGGGAAATCACTTTTTTAACCGATAAATAATACTTCGAGAAAAAGTAATTTTCGTCAAAAATTACTTTTGCAATTACTTTTCTTCTTCGAATCACTTTTTTTTCTCTAACTATTACTTTCGATTGAGAAGTAATTGAAAAAGTGATTTCCCCCTGGTTTTTGGCGATTGCACGAATTTTGAAATGCAACACCTGCACTTATAGAATGATAATCAATGAGAAAAAACCAACTTCAGTTTGGGAACGAAATTCATATGTAGCCAAGCAAGTTTTTTTAAAAATATTTTTCTTTCTCATTATATTTAATGCTACTGAGTGAGACGCTTTTTTTTCGAAGTTTCATCGATGTATTCACGGAATTTAGCATGTTATATTTAGTGTATTGATTGGCACATGAGTAACGAAAACTTAAGATGAGGTAATCATCACCATGAATAATACACGGACATTGCATGTTAATAGAAAATGACATTGTCACAAAATAACTTCTCAACAGCTCTACCACCTCTCTGTCATTATTTTTTATTGTGTTTAATCAAGAGTTCGCTCATGTTAAATGAAATCGACGATGAGTATTTCAATTTCACTTTCTCCGCTGGTGCTCACGAGCATTGCCACACGAACCTCCATCGTTGTATACGTTGATAGTTAATGCGATGAACTACAGCTTAGTCCATGAGTTATACAAGAAATATTACACAAGATTAAAACAAAAACTAGTGAATGACACACAAGCAATTGAATGTGATAAAGTCGGAGAAGTCAGTGGTCTATGAAATTTCCTTGGTATTGTACATGAAATTTTTAAACAAAACTCCATAAATTCATTTATTTCGTTTGATAAAAGCGAACCGAAGCGGAAATCGACCAGAAACAGTAGAGAAAAATGTTTTAGGTGAATTACCATTGATAAACAAAATAGCAGTCGTAAAATGCAAATCGTTCGCTTGACTCATAAATCATTGAAACGTTCAAATCAGAGGGTGATTCATTCAATTTATGTAGCAGTAGAAATATTCGTCAAACAAATGTTTGCGAGTTGAAACGTGCGTATCCAATTCACTGTGGGAGTCTAATTGAACAAAACAATTGCTTTATCGAATAAATTTTCAAGTAGCAAAAGGTCACCTTAACTTTTCGTTTGTGCATAATCATAATCGCAATTCTTTTGTGGTTTCTTGAATTAATCGAAAGTCATTGCATTGCTTCGGAATGCACGCTATCAGAGGTCAAGACCTACTCCGTTTGGGAAAATCCAGAAATTGTTGAAAAATGTAGAGAACAAGATATCAAAACGGAAATACAATTGAACATTGTTTAGCCAACAAATTTGATTCTAAAAGTCACGCATGACAGCTTTTTTAAATCAAAGACATGGTCAGAAGTATGACTAATGGGAGATTCCCACTTGGTAATTTCATAGTTTACAAGATCGGTTCTGGTTTGGTAACTGGTTGGATGTAATAAACACAATATTTATTTTATTTACCAATTCACACGTTTTCACGTACACTTTATTTATAATAATCCATGCATTTGTTTTTTTGCTTTACAGAAAAATGAATAAAACAATTGTTATTGCTGCATTGGCGGCATTTTTGCCTTTGGTTTGGTCGCAATGTCTTACACGGAATGATACAGCCAGGCTTTCGGCTGACAAATTATATTATGGACAGCGGAAATTCTCAGTCAGTCTTCTCGATGCTCTCCAAAAGGCCCGACCAAACGAAAGTTTATTCTTTTCACCGCACAGTACCTATCGCGCATTATTGTTGGCTTATTTCGGAGCCAAAGGTGAAACCGAGAAATCGTTGAAGAAAACCTTACATTTGGATTGGGCGAATAGCAAAGCTGACGTAAGCCATGCATATGAATTGGAGAAACTAGCACGAGCTAATCGTCGCGAACATCAGACCGTTGAATTCAATTCGGTTGACAAACTCTACTTCTCGAAACAAGTTGAATTGAAGTAAGTTTTATTATCATAGCTTTTTTGTTGAGTTTTTTTTCTTAGGAAAATTCTCATTGAAAATTTGTATATATTCATGATCATGATTTTTTTTTCTCACAATTGCAGAGATTGCTTGAAGCAAATGTTCAACGAGAGTATTGAAATATTGAACTTTGCAACTGAGCCAGAAGAAGCCCGTGACCAGATTAATAAGTTTGTTGAAGAGGTAACGAAAGATAACATCAAAGATCTTTTGCCACCTGGCTCAATAAGCCACGATACAAATGTCGTTTTGGCCAATGCCGCTTTCTTCAAAGGAAACTGGGCATCGAAATTCGACAAGGAAGACACGCAGAAGAAAATTTTCTACGAACACAGTCGCATGCCAGTCTATGTCGATATGATGAGACAAAGAGGTCATTTCAATTACGGTATGAAACATTGATAATAAATAATAACGAACTTATATTGATGAATACAAATTCTATGAGAGAAAAAAATGCGGGCATGTTGTTAATATTATCTCTGTTTCGGTTTCAAAATACAGGAGTCATCGAGGAACTTAACACAGTCTTCTTGGAAATGCCTTACAAAGGCGAAGATGGATCCATTTCTATGTACATCTTCTTACCGGTTTTTACAGTCAATGCTATTGATGAGTTCTTGGAGAAAGTTACACCCGAAATGTTGGACGAAGTATTCAGCGGTGGATTGCAACGTGAAGTTGATATTGAATTCCCGAAAATTTCATTCGAGCGTAAATTTGAACTTGTGCCGGTGAGTATGATACACAATTTGAAACATAGAAAACAAATATAGAATTTTGTGGTTCTAACCCAAAAATTTCCTCTTTAAAGATCTTGAAACACATGGGCGTTGGAGATTTATTTGAAAGCGGTGCAAATTTGACTGATTTCTCAGAGAAGCAATCATTGAAATTCGATGATGCAGTGCATCAAGCCAAAATCGAAATCGATGAAGAGGGATCAGTAGCTGCAGCAGCCACAGCCATATTCAGTTTTAGATCAAGCAGACCAACAGAGCCAGCACAATTTATCTGTAATCATCCGTTTATGTTCCTCATTCATGATCAGAAATCCAAAGAAATTCTCTTCGCTGGCGTTTACCGAGGACCCAACGAATAAATGGCTGCAAACAGTGTGCCGAACATCTTTTTAATTTCTTTTCTTAATGTGTTGTAGATTTACAAGTAACAGTGCTTTACCCAATTTATTTTTTAGAACGATTGTTAATATATATGCATGTGAACTGTACACATCCGAACGTATTTATTTGTAATAAATTTCAACAAGAAAACTGATTTGATTGTTTGCAAAATGAGTATTATATGAAGTAGTTGTGTATAGTAATTTTAAAGTTTAGCTAATGAGATTTGAGTGGCAATGCCGCACGTATTGTTTCCGATTGCAATTTTCACAAAGCCATTGTCAGCGAATTGATCACCCCACGTATTTTGCAGTATGTAGTACGGAGTGGGTCCTGAGCGATCAAAACCGACAATCAGAACTGCATGATTTACATCCTCTGCACTGGAATCACATTCATGCTGGATAATTCCACTCAAAAAGTGCTGCCATGGTGAAGCATTCACAGCTGCTACGACTAAAATATTTTGTCTATTAAAATCAATCGTTTAACTAGAGCCGATATTGTGATGAAATTACCTGGCCCATAATTGGCAACGATTTCCAGAATTACATTTTCATTCCCGATGAAACTAAAAAGTGTTAAAATGCAACAAACAAAGAGAATTTACTTCGACCGCTATTCTGTAGTTTGTCTTAGCCACTCACCTGCTGCATGTGTAGTCAGTGACTCGATACCCCTCCATAGTTGGATCGTTAAGTAGAATATGACACGTTTGATTCATTCCATCTTTTGATCTGGGATACTCGCGATCGGTGAGAATTTTAATTCTATCCTCGACCAACCACTCGAGCAAAAGGCACGAATCGCCGCCGTCACAGCCGCGGTTTTCATTTTCGGCACAGTCAATCATCTGTTGGACACTCAATGTTTTTGTCAGATTTTTATGAATTTTCAAATGGGCTTCAATCATTTCGATTACACTAAAAGCATAACATGCGCCACACTTTCCTTGGAGTCTCACTGGCCGCAGAACATTTTCTTTTCGCCTAATTAAAATTGTTATTAATGAAATTGTCCAAAAAATACACTCAACACAGTGGTGTACATACCAATCAACTTTCATGGGTATGAAATTAACATTCTGTTCCAGTAGATTTTGCTTATAAAACGATGGATACCGATCAAATTCATTGTTATCTGTGAACTCGTATTTAACCTCATTTACTTTGATGGTTGAGTTGACGTTCTTCAATGGCGTTTGCTGAATGCTTTTCAGTCGAGCTCCAATAATGTGAGACATATTCCTATTCAAGTGTATCGCCTCAAATTCTTCAGGTGTTAGGTCGGAATATCGTGTGACTCCGAAATGTGCCGTCGCATTTTCTGCAGTATTTAATCGAATAATATTCTCGAGCGTTGTCTATTTGGAATTTCAAAAAAAAAAAACGATTTTTTCCAATATCTTCAAGTGTGCAGATGCAAATAGCCTACCTTAAAAATGCCTAATCGTTTTTGGAATTCCTCTGGATTTATATAGGTTTTGTTGTATTTCGCAGTAAAGTTCTTGAATAATTCTTCAGCCAAATGTTGCGGAATTCGTATACGAAGCACACCAATGTGCAGAGGTATTGCTAAAAACAACAATAAGATCAACAACACAAATATCCAAAGCCCTTTTGAACACTTCATTTTTTTAACTTGTAAATTTATTTATAATAATGAATATGTGATATTTCAATTGTTCATTGTAGCGTTAACGTCGTAATCGACCGATTTGAGCTAATAAACTGCGACGAAAAACAAGATGTCAAAAACATTTAATCTATGTCTGTGCGATGATGTTTTCGCAACCGAATAATCAGTACGTAAATGGGACCGGGTGCTCTTATCATCGAGAACATGTGATACTTTATTTGATGCAACATGTGAATGCCAGAGTGCGGAAGTGAGAAAGAGATGGAAACACGAAACGTTTTACACAACCTTTGACATCATTTTTTCTTCAATTTGCGAATCATTGATCTTTTATTGTTTTGCTCGAATTGATACTATTTTTCTGGAATGACTGTTTATTGTTGGTTTCCTGATTTCTCTTTCGAATATAAATAAATGAAGAAGATGATTGCACCGGATTTGTCACCATAGTGAATATCATTTATTGGTTCAATTCCATAAAATCTCACCGATATATTATTTGAAATGATTCATTTGAAATGAGAACAACACCGAAAAGCGACATCTGGCGAACAATACGAAAACTCTCTTGACAAGCGCCAATAACAAAACGTTCATTGACAGAGAAGCAAGTGAATGTGCTCCAAAAACAAACAAATCCAAACTTTGAAATAAATTCAATTCAAAATGAAACTGGTAATGAAAAACAATTGCCAAATCTTATTCTGATTTCTCTATACCAACATCAACATCTCATTTATTCTTTACGTGATTTTCATTTCAGTATTGCTTAAGCGGTGACCCGGCAAAACCATGTTATTTGATCAGTTTCAAGGAGCTGGTAATAATGTTGGATTGTGGCCTATCCAGCCAAACAGTTTTGAACTTTTTACCCATGCCATTGGTGCAGAGTTCACGATTTCAATCACTGCCGAATTGGATTTGTCCACGTGAGCATGACGCTCAAGTTGATGGTGAATTGAAAGAGTGTTGCAGTCGCTTGTTCATCGATAGTACACCGGAATTTTGCACGCCATTGGATAAAATTGTGGATTTCTCTGAAGTTGACATCATATTGATCTCAAACTATATGAACATGCTGGCATTGCCGTACATTACAGAAGGTACTGGATTTTCTGGAACTGTTTATGCCACGGAACCCACTCTGCAAATTGGTCGCTTCTTTTTGGAAGAGCTGGTTGAGTACATTGAAACGACTCCAAAAGCAAACGTTGCCACGGGATGGAAAGAAATTCTGAATCTACTACCGGCACCATTGAACGAGGTGTTTAAGCCGAAAAGTTGGAAACACCTATTCAGTATTGAAGACGTTCAAAACAGTTTGGCTCGAGTGAAAATTGCCGGCTATGATGAAAAGTTGGACATATTTGGTGCATTGACGGTTTCACCCGTTAGTTCGGGCTTTTGTTTGGGTTCGAGCAATTGGGTGATTAGCTCAGGCCATGAAAAAGTTTCTTATATTAGTGGATCATCGACACTCACCACACATCCAAGACCCATCAATCAAACAGCGCTGAAAAATTCAGACGTTGTTATAATAACTGGTCTAACGCAAGCGCCTCATGTAAATCCTGATAGTATGCTAGGTAAATGGGCTGATTTTCATTTTCTTTCAGTTATTGCAAATGTGTTTCAAATTAATCAATTTTGATTTGGTTTTTTTTGTGTAGGTGAACTGTGTATGAATGTCGGCGTTACATTGCGAAACGGTGGCAGCGTATTGATCCCATGTTATCCATCTGGCGTTGTGTACGACTTATTCGAATGCCTATCATCAAGTCTGGATAGCCATGGTCTATCGCAGGTTCCGATGTTTTTCATCTCCCCCGTTGCGGACAGTTCGTTGGCATACTCAAACATTTTGGCTGAATGGTTGAGCTCAGTGAAACAAAACAAGGTACATACCTTATGTCGATCAACAACAACAATTATTGTTTGCTCAAATAAAATCAACAACATTTATCTCCTCTCCAGGTTTACATACCCGATGAGCCATTTCCACATGCAAGTTTAGTGAAAAATTCACGTCTCAAGCATTTTAAGCACATTTACTCACCCGGTTTCAGTACTGAATTCAGACAGCCATGCGTTGTGTTTTGTGGCCATCCAAGTTTGCGCTTCGGCGATGTTGTTCATTTTATTGAGCTATGGGGCTCGAATCCACAGCATACGATAATATTTACTGAGCCAGACTATCCATATCTACAAGCATTAGCACCATACCAACCGTTGGCAATGAAGGCAATCTATTGCCCAATTGAAACATCGTTGAACTTCCAACAAGCCAATAAGTTGTTAAAAGAACTCAAACCCGGTGTTGTTGTTATTCCCGAGAGCTATACACAACCGCCCGCCATTGCACCACATAAAACTGAGTTGGTCATTGAAAAACAGGTATGCATAACATTGACATTGCATAATACATTTGCCTTGAGTTTAAGTCAATTTCGTTTTTATCTGTAGGACAAACAAGTGATAACATTCAAACGCGGTGAAGTCATCAAACTGCCACTCAAACGAACATTTGATCGTGTATTTTTGACTCCGGAAATAGCAAAGCAAATTATTCCGCGCGAAGTTTTGCCTGGCACAAATTTGTCATCTCTTACCGGATGCCTTCAAGTCAAAGATAATTTACATGATATCAAGGTACGAAGTGATTCTAGTCAAAAAGAATCGCAAAGTTGACGGAATTCATTAATATATATACAAATAATAATTTACATTGAATTGTAGGCGTTCGATGAGCCATTGAATGAGCAGCCAGGTCATAAGCGACAATGTGCACCGACACAGGAGGAGATTTTCCGAAAAACCAAATACGAATGGGGACAAGTTGATGTCGATCTGTTCATTAAGAAACTAATGCAAGAGGGTATCAATGATGTTAAAATTGAACAATGCGGTGGTGGCACTACGAAAATCCGAATTCTCAGCGATGACACCCTGATTACAATCTCCGACAATTCGACACACATTTACAGCAGCGGAAAAGATAAATTACGGCAGAAACTACGAGATTTGCTCATGAAATGTGTACCTAGTTTTTAAGTTCGATTTTGTATCATTTTTTTTAGCGTTTTAACTTTGAATTGAAAAATTTACTCAAATAAAATGACGTATTTCATTCAATGTCTTTCGATGATTCATTTTTCAATTTGGAATTAAGAACACTTGCGTAAAAGAAACTTTAATAACGTTAAAATTCTATGCTGATTATCGACGTAATTTCCAAATAATAGATGAAAAAAAATTGGTTTATTGGTCGGTATTTGACAATCGATTCCCATTCTTCATGCTTTGTCATGACGTGTATGTTCGCTGAAAACATGATCCGTGCAATGCAATAAAATAATTGCTCGGTGTTTGTCAAATGCGATTAAATTTCGGGTATACAATAGCAAATTATGAAACTGAATATTTGTTGTTCTACACAAAAAGCAATAACTGTGTGATAAAATTTGGTCTTTTTTTGTTGGTAAGAACCAAATTATCGATCAATGAAACGTATAAAAGTGGAAAGATCGCAAGATTATCCACCAGTCGCATTTTTCGTAGTGGAAGTATTACGTTGGCACTTCATACACGCAGTTCAAGATGAGTGGTCTTACTGATTGTGGATATTTTGTTCTAATTTTGATAGTGACTTGTGGATTAACCGTGGCACAAGTGCCAAATCCATGTGTTAAGTTTGATTTTGATCGTCCAGCTAATGAGTTTTTACCTCATTTCATCGTGAAAGTTTATAATGCTGCGACCAATCCGAAACCATTTCGGCCGAATTATCACAACTTCTTGACAAACATATCACCGGGCTATTTCCTTGCCCCGGTCAGTACGCCGTTGACATTCAATCAGTCTTCAACAATTGAGACTCTTTTGTACTTTCAACCAGTTGGTACTGCATGGCTGGATATTAGCATACGCGATATAAAAACTAACATGGTCACACAAATGATACACCTGAGCACATTCACAAATTGGCAGCTTTTCCAGAAGGTTGTCGGAAAACCTATACCAGAGGGTCGGGTAAATGGATTTGGAAATTTCACAAATTTTCATATGGTTTTTACGCTAAAATTTTTTTGAATTTTCAGCTTGAATTGGCCGTTAGTATGACACCACAAAGTATTTTTGCCATTCAATTTCTGAACGTTGTGAATCCAGTCATTAATAAGCCGGAGTGTAAAAGTACACCAATACCGCCGCTTCCTTCCCCATCACCGTCAATAACTCCAAGACCACCAGCGCCAACACAAGCACCAGGACCAGGATCAGGATCAATAGTTAATCCCAACGAAATCTGGTGGTGGGTAATTGGTGGCATTTGCTTAGCAATTCTGGTTGTCATCATCACTTTGGCTTTAGTTTACTGCATAGTTGATTCATGCTGTAGTCGTTCAAGCAAATAAAGCAAGATGCTGATTTATTCAATGGAAATACATTAACGATTTAACAATTCAATCTAGTATTCAAAAACTGCTCAATAAAACATTAACTGATTTTACTGCAATCAAATAAACGATTTATTTTAAATATTCACATGAATCCATACAATCAGAACTCTAACTTGTTTTTATCAGAGAAATTAAACGTTTTTTGTTCAGTAAAGTTTGCAATATCCATCGGTGATTGAATTTTCGCTCTGCAATTGATGAATTAGTTTGCTCCAACAAACTAAGACGAAACTTCTTGGTTTACAAATGAGACAAGAGAGACAATATAATGTAAGAAAAAACATTCCTTGGCAACTGTAAATTCCTAGGGGTTTCACGCAACTTAAAATTCATCTAAAATTTCAATATTTCTCTCTTTTCTCTCACATTCTCTGGGATTCACCAAAATCCGTATTATTTCGAAATATTTCAACATTCACCTTGAAAATTATGTTCTGGAAGTGGGTTTTGGTGGATCCTCAGGATCGTTCAAAACTGCTCCCGGTTCTGGAAGTGGGTTTTGGTGGATCTTCAGGATGGATCAGATTGGGTTTGACAATGCCCTGGTCCATCCTGAGGATCCACTTCCAGAACCAGGAGCGGTTTTGAACGATCCTGAGGATCCACCAAAACCCACTTCCAGAATTTTTAGATTCAAAAAATTCTAAAAAATTCGAGTTTATGAATAAAAAGAAGCAATATCTATAGTTCACACATAAAATGGTTTTATTTCCAGCTATCTAGTAAAATCTTCGGCCTTCGAGTTTGCGTGAAACCCCTAAGTAAATTCAGTAACCTCACCTGCAAAAAAACAAACACTGAAAATGTGAACAATACCTGTATGCTGCGTATCGTTACAACATTTCAGTTACATATAATAAACAACAAGAAAATAATGGGCCGATTCGATTAGATATAATCTGAAAAGTCATCTCGCAGCGGATGAAAGACATTTAACGCTGCTACGATCGAAACATCAACTTGAAAGCCATAGAACAGCCAAACAAAAGTACATTGTGTGTATGTGTACGCGCGTGTAACTTAAATTTTGCGACGAATCATTGTTTTAACATAAATACGAACATCTGTAACGCAAACGTCTTAGTTGTTAACGGGCCGCCGTGTTGCATCTTTTTCTTATCGCTAGCTAACTGCATGCGGTTTTGACATTTATTTAAAACGACATAGTTTTGTATCGTAAAATTTCTGGACTGGAAATATTGAATAAAAGGTATTATTGGGTCTGGGAATTAGTTTTGTCGATTTTTTTAAATTTTCAAACATTTATTTGAATACCAAAATGAAATTACATTTCAATCAAAATATTGTCCATCGGAAGCGATGACCTTCTGCCACAATGTGGGCAGTTGACGGATGCCTGCCTTAAAAAATTCCTCATCTTTTGAGGCTATAAATGCATCGAGCCAATTTTGGATTTCTTCAACTGAAGAGAACCGCTCTCCGTCCATATGGTTTTGCATCGATCGAAACAAATGGTAGTCGGAAGGAGCCAGGTCTGGGCTATACGGGGCGTGAGCCAAAACTTCCCATCCGCTATTTTCCAAGTAGTTTTTGACCGATTTCTCAATGTGTAGCCGATCATTGTCATGTAGGAAAATCAATGTCTCTTTTCTGGTCTCCCATTTCGTGCGTTTTTCTTTGATTGCTTGTTTCAAACGTATCAATTGTTGTCGGTAGAAAGGCCCATCGATGGTTTGACCACTTCTCAGCAGCTCATAATACACCACTCCCTCCTCATCCCACCAAATAGACAGCATTACCTTGTCGCCGTGAATTTCTTGTTTTGGCTGTGATGTTGCTGGTTGGCCGGGCTTAACATACGATGCTTTGCGCTTGGGGTTATCGTAATGAATCCATTTTTCGTCACCAGTGACAATTCGATACAGAAAACCTCTTTTTTTGTGCCTTGCGAGCAGCATTTCGCAAGTCACTAAACGCCTTTCAGCTTGCGCTGGCGTCAATTCATGTGGTACCCAATTTGACAACTTGCGAATGAAACCAAGGGCCCTTAAACGATATCCAACAGTGCTTCGGTCAACATTCAATGCTCTGGCAAGCTCATCTTGAGTTTGACTCGAATCTTCATCGAGCAATGCCTCCAATTCCGCATCTTCAAACTTTTTTGGCTGGCCGGGACGTTCCTTGTCTTCCGTGCTAAAATCACCACTTTTGAACCGTGAAAACCACCGTTCACATGTACGTTCCGATGGAGCATGCTCACCATAGGCTTCCACCAACATTCGATGCGCTTCAGCCGCAGTTTTCTTCAAATGAAAGCAAAAAATTAATGCTTGCGGGAAATGTTGCTTTTTCGGTACAAAATTTGACATATTTAAGGCGCAAAAAAAATGTTCATCCAAACTTCGATGAAATGATAGATGATGATTTTTGTAGTTTGACACTAGACCACTCATGTGAAAAAGAAAAAAGTATTGCCCGATACAACCATGCAAAGTTACGCCATCTTTTGAAAAATCGACACGATTAATTCCCAGACCCAATATTAAAATCGACAAATCAAAAGAAAAAAGATTCCAACAAAAATCTAAAAAAAAATTCATAAATTTTCCCAAAAAGAAATTGACACCAGTTTAGCGCTGGTTTGCTGCTCTCACACCACACTACACACAGTATGCTGTAGTGTGAGAGCGGCAAAGCGGCAGCATGTTGTGTGTAATGTCGTGTCAGAGCAGCAAACCAGCACTAAACTGGTGTCAATTTCTTTTTGGGTTGTCGTGTGTTTGATTACAGCGGAACTATGAACGACGAAGAAAACACAATTCACCAAGCAAATGTAATCGATTTGGATAACATCGCTTAAACTGAAATCTGCAAAAATTTGCCAATAGATAATATAAAATCATTGCGCACCACATGCAAAGAAATCAACAGTAAAATCGATGATGAAACAGTCAAAATGGCATGCCCAAACTTACGATTGAACTTCTTTCGACTTCGTTTGGATAATGCAGAATTTTACGATAATCTGTTGGCTAAAATGCCGGATTGTTTTGATGTAATTAAAGCACTTCACATCGGAACGAATGAATTTGACATCCCAATGATCAAAAAATTAAGTGTAACATTTCCCTGGTAGTTCTGGTAGCAGATATAACAGTTCATTATGTTTCGCAACAGTCGTTGGGTATGTAAAGTGGATGGTTGCCGCGGAAAATTCGTGGACAAACGTGGGGCCCATGAGCACTACGATAACGTACATCTTAAAATCGGCGCCCACTGCTCCGTGTGCAAACAGCACTACAACGACAAAGGTGCAGTTCATAAGCACATAAATTCGGTGCATGGCAAGAAGAAGGCCAAGGCAGTGAAAGGCCATCCCAAAGAAGAAATCCCGGACGTTGCTATTCCAGCAGCCGCCAAACGTCCGGGCATGATGCAGCAGATGCTCATCGATCGCGCAAATGCTGGTCTCGCGCAACCGCGGCAATGTAAGTATATATTGATTTTTTTATCATCACTTCTCTTAATCTCATCACCAGCATTAAACTGACTAGACGACATCTCGGACACAACATCGATTGTTTTGAAGAACTATTTGAATGGCTTTCGATGACCGATTTACTTGCCCTTCGTCAAACATGTAAACGTTTTAAAAAGATCATTGACTATCATATTAAAACTGAATACTCCGCCATGATAATTGGATACGCTCGTGATAAAAATCAGATGGATGCTCGCCTTTTAAAATTTAACGAACCCAAATATAAACATTTGGTTAAACATATTACAATTCAGATATTCAGTTTTACATATCATTTCCCGCGCGTAAGTCAATGGGTTTGTCACTATTCCAGAAGTTTATCCCAAATAAAACGTTTGAGATGTGAAATTCCTGTCAACTATAGTAGTTGTTTTTAAGACTATCATAGAAAGATGTCCCGATTTGGAATTCCTGAGCATAGAAGCATGTAATCATGAATGGATACGAGATAAATATCCAAAATTGAAATATCTTCAACTGAAAAGTCTTTATATTTATCCATCTGGTCTAACAACGGAAGAAGAGTTAGAGTTGAGAGAATTTTTCGAAAAAAATAAAATAATTCAAATGTTTTCGATGGGATCTAGAGACGTTTTGCGATTAAAAAACTGCTTCTTAGGCTCAAATATAAAATTTAAAATGCTGCATATTATAGTCGCCGAAAATCCTATATGCTTGGTTCCTCTAAGCGATCTAGTCAATAAGCTCTATGAACAAGGTTTTTATGAACGATTGGAAATTCGGGTTTATGATACAGAAAGTATTGATCAAATTAAATCGCTACCAGAAATGAAACAATTATATATATATTGATAACTTCTTGCAAGGCGCAAGTTTAACACCTATATCAGGGTTGCAAGAACTAAATATTTTCCATAATGAAACAAATGAGGATTTTGCAAAATTAGCAAAAAACCTCATGAATATCGAACGAGTTTACTTACAAAGGGCGAATACAGATCAAGTTTTACAATTTATACGTTATGCTTCAAATGTGAAAATAATCAAAGTTGATTACCTGGAAACCGATGGAGAGAAAATCATCGATTTGTCGGCATTTAATCGAGAAAGAAAAATGTCGACCAATCCGCAACCAATTACACTTTATCTAAAAGGAGAACATGTTCTTACGACAAAATGGGCAACAAATGATACGAAAAAAGGCCTGGTTAGTTTAAAACGATCCTCAGCCATAAGGTCATTAACGAATGAAGATTATAGTTTTTAAAGAAAAACAATGTGAAAGAACAACAACAGTGTTTGGGGATGATAATTTCTAGTACAATATCAACTGATTTATTACAGTAATGTGTGTATTTGTGCATTGCAGCAAATAACTTTTCTTCTACGGAAGACTCAACATGTTTAGAATAATTGATTTTAATGTTTGTTTTTTTTAGTACATAAGATATGATAATACTAGAAAATAGTAATAATAACCACTAAATCAGGTATTTTTTTTATGCTGTTTTGGCATAAGAATTTTGGCCAGAGAAAATTATAGATTTTTCAATTGATCATTTATCAAAACTTTCACAAAAACTGTAATATTGATTGAACATTGAACGAAGCAACCTTGATTTTTGAATGTAAATAAGAAGTTTTTTTTGGAAGAAATTTCTTTTTATTTCATTCTTTGAAATGTGTCCACCTCCTTTGACTCATTAGTTCCATTATTTTATTCCGACATCAATATTCAAACGAAAATTTCAAAAGCGTCTTCAAAAGAATAATTTCCGATTTACGCATTTTTCTTAACAAAACAAATGCGCGTGGTTTGATAGGTTTTATTGGTCAATATTTCAACCAAAAAATGTAATGTTCTGACGATTTCAATGGCAAGCTAAACAAAGTTGCAACGTCATGGAATCATAAAATAATTCAATGCAATTTGTCAATAGCAATAAAATTCAAAGGAGTGCGTCACATTGAACCAATTACTCGTCGTTTTATTATGAAGTTTAGTTTTTCAGGTCTTTTTAGATTGCCGATCGGGGTAACATATAAAAGTAGACGGTTCCTAAGACTATTCTAGTCGCTACTTTGGTTTTGACGAAGTCAGTTGTGAAAATCATCCACGATCCAAGATGAATCACCAGTATAAATACATTGTCACGGTTTTAGTGGTATTTTGTGAGTTTGCAGTTGGTCAAAACAATGGTCAAAATGCGGCCCAAAAGTACTGTTTCAAATTTGAAATCACACAACCAACGTTTGGAACCAATTTTCGTGGATGTAATAACCCAAAATACGACAATTTTATCGTCAAGGATTTCAATCAAAATTTCAAACCATTTCGAACGATGAACAAGCAGTATCTCTCGAACAGCCACGTAAATTCGTGTGCTGCACTTAATCAAAACTTTACATTCGATCAATTCACATACATCGAGGCTAGCATTTTCCTTAAGTCGCTTAGAACTGAATCCATCGAAATTGTCGTAGAGGACATTGAAAAAAAAATCAACTATCCATTGAACTATCACGGCAATTTTGGGTGGGACATTTTCAATGGAAGAATTCAGAAGAATATTACAAATGCTCAGGTATTTCATAAGTTTGGTATTTTTAGACAACGATTCCTATTCATTTTTTCTACTACCTTCATTTTCAATTTGCAGATCAAAATTATGGCGAATAACATAACTCCCGAAAGTGGCCTGGCCATTGAATATTTCTACGTTTTAAATAAGGCAAATAAAGCACCGGAGTGTCAAAATATCCACCCGGCTTTGTCTAATTTGTGGTGGATTATTATCTGTGTTATGTTGGGAATTTTACTGCTGGTCATTCTTGCAATTGGCATCTACTGCATAGTCAACAAACGCAGGAGCATTTCAAATAGCTCGACAGACAAGTGAGCACTACGTTTCTGCCAACTGAAAATTGAAATATTTACAAATTGAAATGTACGATACTGCTTTATCGAAGAAAAAATGTAGATAAATTAAAAGACCATATCCAAAGCACAATTTCTGCTTTTTTCATTGCTATTTTAACGAATTTTCAATACTTAAATCTGTTGATTTGTTTGCACCTTAACATCGCACTAGAACCATGCAAAGAATCGTTTATTACGCTGAATCTTGCAAGAAAAACATTATTTCAGTTCCCCAGACGGTTATACAAAAAAAACCGAAGATAAAACATAATAACAGTTATCTTCAGACAGAAATGATTCAAGTGGCGCAGGTAACAAATAATGGTTAATCCATTGAGTAACGGATAGAACTGGACGAGGTAAATATGAACATTCAACAACATGTTAAATGCTACGCTTAGTAAGTGAGAGTGTAGTAGACGCATATTGTCTCTTCATACATCAAGTAAGTTGATTCATCATCACGAGTTGTGCGAATAGATACGAATTCAGTATAATAACCGTACAAATATATTCAAATTGTTTAAAGTGAACGCACTCTTACACATTCATTTGTTTGACATTTTCTACCAGCTGTGTGAATATTCTATTAGCTATCTATTCATTCTATTAGCTGTCAATATTATATGTCAGTTTGGTGTATCATCTCCAAGTTCTTCAATCTTCACCATATCTGTTTGCAATGCTATCAGCTTCTTTGTCTTCAAATAAGCCTTGATTACTTCGTTTTTTTTTTGTGATTTCACAATAAATTTTCATTTAAGTTATTTGTTTTGATTGAAGAAGAATATCGACAGTTATGGGTGCTAGTTCAGCAAAACCTTCTCCCCGGATTGTGGAAGGTCGCATTGACGAAACCCGTTATAGTGGTGTAAGTTGAACAAAACGTGTTTCTTTGTGTTCATTGCCTAATCAAAAACGTGTTCTTTTCAACAACAAAAATATTCTTCATTTTTTGTTCATTCAGTCAATTTCGAGAGCTCATAATGCCGCCACTAGAAGTTCAACCGGTGCATCGGACGGATGTATAGATATATTCTCTGCTTATCGTGCTGGTTCATCAACATCGTCCACAGCTGGACCCACATATTCATATGTAACTTTCTGATATACCTACCCATTCGAAAATGAAACGAAAAAAAAATATTTTTTTAATTTCTATTTTCTTTCCTCTGAAACAGTCATCAGCTCGAAGCACCACCACGAATTTACCACCACCACCAGCAAACATTCAAACTGGATACTCTTCCTTTAATGCTCCCAGTTCATCAACAGTAACGACAAGACAATCCACCGCGATTGATCAACTAGAAGAAGCCGACATTGCACGAGCAATTCGTTTGTCTTTGACAGCCAATCAGACTAGTCGAGTATCAAACCTTACATCTTCAACGGTAGGCTGAAATTAAAATACATTTGGTACTGTGTTTTTTTCTCTCTCTAAAGTATCAAAATCTTGCAGCTGTCATGGTCGCATGGCATATCGCAATATCCAAAAAGTAATACTGCCAATGTTAACCGTGTCAAAGCCTTAGCAAATACCTCTGTCTCCAACTCGGCATCCGCCCCGAAAGCAGAAATGGCATTTGATTGCAGTATCTGTATGGAATTCAACGAGAAAGATGTAATTGTTGCTACAGAGTGTGGTCATGTATTCCATAAGGAATGCGTTTCTCCATGGATTCAGCAAGCAGGGACCTGTCCATCATGTCGAGTTCGTATCACTATTGCATCGCTGCGAAAAATTTTCATTTCAGTTAATTCAAGTAGTAACGCGTTGAAATCCAACACGACGAATTCTCGTAACAACAACAATAACACCAGCAACGGCAACGGCAACGGCAACGGCAACGGCAACGGCAACAACCGCAACAACCGCAACAACAATGCAGGAATTCAACGTAGAAACAATCCAAACAGAAGTACAACATCATCCACAATGTTTCGTCGTACAATTTGGTTGAGTTCACAGGATAAGCAAATTACCGAGCAATCTCTTGCCGTTCTTATTTCGCACAGATTCAATATTTCATTGCAGAAGATTTCAATCAAAAGTCTGAAAAAAGCAGGTACAACGCAACCACCACAGCGATATGTTTCATTTAAAATAAGCGTCGACTCGGAAAGTACGTTCAACACTTTGGTTGATGTTACGAAGTGGCCAAGAACGTTTCGTGTTCGCGAATTCATTGAACGTAATTAAGGCATTTTCCAAGCATGCTTTACTCAATCGCATTTGATAAACACATTATTTCAATAAAATCTAAAATCATTTGCTGACATCATTAAATAGTATCCATGAATAACATACTCTATTCTGTCCCCATTGTTTCTTATCTTTGTAATAAGTTTAACAAGACTATAATGGTTTCTCAAGATATTTTTTCATATGATGTGGTTGTTTGATTTCACATCTTTTTCTAACCTTTTTGTCCAAAGTTTAGTATTATAGATAAGCATTTGGTAACTTACGCTTTTTTTGAGAATATAATTTGTCGATTTCCTTTTAAATAATTAAATAAAGTACGAAAATTAACGCAAAAATGAACAAATTTTGTTCCACCAGATGTATTTTTTCTGCAAAAAATAGATTTACTTTCATCGCACGCTCAGGTGTTCTTGTCTCCTAAAGCAATAAAGATCTTGATTATATTTTATCAAAAGTAGACCAAGAAAATTCGCCGTTATATCATAAATTTTTACACTTTTATATCCAAACGAACCGATGCGATAAATTGGATGGTTCACCTTTTTTCGATAAAGAATTATATAAATGTGTCAAACGAATTTTCTGGATTACAGTCGTTGTTTCTGTGGCAAACCAGAATAACACACGTTTCACAATGGCTGATCCAATAAAGGGCTTAGCTGCATTTATTCTGTTGAATTTTGTACATTTGACGGTGGCCCAACAACTGTGTACCAAAATTGATTTTGATCGTACGGTTCTTCCAGAATTTCGTGAGTGTACAGATCAACGATTGCCAGCACTTTACATAACAGATTATGCGTCGCATCGTGAAGTTCCACCGTATCGACCAGCTTCACCATACTATCTTTCGAATAGTTATTTTGGTCTTTCGTGCATTGAATCGGTCATAGTTTTGGCATTTGATAAGTACACTTCTATCGAGGCTGCGATTTATCTAAAGTCTTTGGGAAGTGCATTTGTTGAGATTAACGTTTATGACGCAACTCATATAAATTCGCTTGTGAAATCATTTCGCAGTGATGGCACACAAAATTGGTCCATTCTTCGTGGTAGCGTTGACAGAAATATTTCAAACGCTCGAGTAAGTACTGTGATGAAAAATAATAAGCCCAATCATACTTTCATTGATTTTACCGTTTTTCCCTTCCACTTTAAGGTCGAAATAAAAGCTTATACGGATTTGCAAACCGTACTCGCCATTCAGTTTCTACATATTCTTAATTCAGCTATCGATTGGTCTGAATGTAAAAGCACGACTCAACCACTAACCACAAGACCGCCTCCCATTACATCACCATTGCCACCCGTTACATCAACTGGACCGCCAGCTAAGAATCCTGAACAGACTTGGTGGTGGGTGATTTTCGGTGCTTGTGCGCTAGTCGTGGTACTTATTATCATTATCGTTTGTGTAATTTGTATGCTTAACATGCGCCGAACTCGTTCTCATGACTGCACAGCCAAATAGATAAAAAAATCCTCTATAACTCCAAGTTGTAACAATTTTTATTTTATTTTATTGTTTATCGCAAATAAATTTAGCATCGAATTTTACAGATTTGTGATTTGTGTTTATCTATATTTGATTGTATTAATGCTCGACAAAACTAGTAAACCACTTCTCCACTAATTCGATGTATTGAAATTCCTGGTCTTTCCTGCGACACTTGTGTCGATTTAAGGGATGGCAACATTCGCCACAGACATATCGATAAAATGAGAAGAAGGGTCGTTAGCACAATAAATACTATAGAAATTATTCGCCACGTATCCTCTTGTTTTTGAGATGATTCAGTCAATTCTGAGGGCAACATTACAGTTGTTGTAGACACCGTTGGATCATTTGATATATCGCCAGAACCCTCTCCTGGTGAGGTTTCGTCAAAAGACTTGGCATTATAGCTCATAAATGTGACAAAATCCAACGTATTCGCATCTGTTTGTTTCTTGACACATGAATTTCGTTGATCCGTATGGTTGGGGTCATTAAGTGAAATATGAAAATATATTGAAATCGGCACACGTTCAAAGCTTACGTTGTACTATAAATGAAAAAAAAACCTTAAATTTTCGATGATTCATGAATATTTATTAGATGGCCATACTCCAAACTGTCCTTCAAATTCACCAATACCACTAAAAGCATCACATTTAATTGACCATTTCAACGATTCCAATTGTCGATTTTTGATGAATTCAATTTTCATAGGATTATCCCCGTTTTTGATACCAGTTAGTTGCATCGAAAACTTTACAAGCTTTTGTTCATTTTCTTCAAATTTGGAATTACTGACAAATCTGAAATAGTAGCAACTTACACGAGATTGGTTTCGTAGTATGGTGGTGTTGGCCAAAGTAGACACCGTTCCATTACATCCCGTTTGCAATGGTATTGAAACCAATTCACAATATTCCGAAAATGAAGCGGTCAAGATGAATAAAAAGCCGCTGAAAAATAAATTTAAACGAAAAAACAATGGAGCCATTGAGACACTATTCTATGTCGTTGACGTTAATACCAAATGAATGACTCGATTCGGGCCTTTAGTTCTAAATTCTAGGCCATAAAATAGATTGATATCGACACGGCTGATATCGATAAAAACGTAATCGAGGTGATGTATTTGGATCAGGTCGTTATCATTGTTTTATTACTTTTGGCAAAATATCACATCCATCATGATTATTTGAGCTGAAATTTGATAAACATGGGCCCGTGCGCACCGAAAATTGCCCAAATTTGTTGTTATTCAAAACTGGTAACATAATAATGCAATAGGAACACTTAGAATATTGGTTGGATATTCACATATTTCCATGTGCAATGGTACTTGGATTTAACAAGAAAATCGTTGACAGAAATTTGTTTTTTGTATTGCAAAACTAAAAATCTTTGGTGGAATAATCTTTGGAATTAGCTGAAAGAAAAAAATAAAACAATTCAACGTTCTATGCCTCTATATTCTCGTATTTTATTAAATGATAATGTGTTGAACAGATTTTTTTTAATTTCATTTTGTAATTACATAGGTTTTACATGTTGAATAGTTTGTTAAAAACTGTTGATTTTATCCTGTTTAGATTGTATGTGTGGTGTGTGTGTTTGTTTGGGATGCCAGTTTATGTAAGGGGGTTGATTTATTTTATCTAAGATTTAACCGTATCATTCGAATCGGAAACTGTTGTTGGGTGTAGACTGTAGATCCCATATTAATACAGTATATTTCATCTGTTTGAATTCATAATAAACTGATTGATTTAATGTCTCCACTCCATTTCTTTTAAATTCCATTTAAACACTTTCATTTTCATTTATATAATAAATTTGTTTTAAAATTACTAACATTGGATGTAAATTTGTTTCATCTTTTGGCCATAGATTTCTATGCGTAGGTCAGACCAACAACGACCAACCATAATTGTCTTCTAGCCCCCTTCGTCGTGTGCCATAGACGGTTTTCATTTACATATCAACGTCACACACGCACACTCAATATTTTAAATCAAGCTTGTTTTTTGTGTGATTGTTTTTAATTAAAATTTAATGCTTAAAAAGTTGCAGTCACAGCACTCTATATAAATTTTACACAATTGAATTTTTCTCCCAGATTTCTGTGTGTTTTTTTGTTTGTGTATGTGTGTATTTTGTCTCAACAAAACAAAAGCGATTTCTCTGCAATTTTACGTAAAGTTGAAGTCGTGTCGAAAATTAAAGAGAAATCCTTTTGAATTATGAGAGACAATGATCGAAAACAACACTGGATATGGTTGGTCTACAATGATTTTCATAAATCTTTCATTTGTTTCCCTCTTTTCTTCTGTTTGTGTCAATTAAAATTTGGGAATCCCAATTCAATTGTCAATAGTTCAATCGATTGCCAGATAAATCATTAATACACTCTGAAAACTATTTTGTACTGCAAAATTTTCGTTTCACATTCCACTATCGTGTCACCCAGAAAGTGCGACCAATTTGTTTTGTTTCATTTCAAATTATGGGTGAACAAGATGAATTCCATCTGCTTCACGTTTTCAGTCGTGAAGCATTGAATTTGTATCTAAATTGAAAGAATTTGAGATTATTTGAAGTCGCTGGGTTCACGTTTGGTTGTTGTTTTATCATAAAGATAAGAGAAGGGAAAAAAATATAAATAAATTATATGTAAATTGTAGAATGCGATTAAATAGAATACGGTATTATGTTTACAATGGACTGTGCTCATTTGTTTTAGCATACTGCGAACAGCAAACTCATTTTTCATGTGTATACGAATTCTTTCAAAATATTATTGATCAATGATTTGAGCCCGTCTGTGGGATGGTTAAACGTTTTTCGTTATAAAATATATTTATATTAAATGAGTATATGCATAGTGGAATCAAAAGGAAATTTCTTCTTCGGCCGGACAATGTGATTTACTTATTGAAATGTTTCACACATAAAAGAAACTGTGCTGATGAATATGGGCTCAGAAATACGAAGAGTATTTTGGTCAAATGTGGTGACGAGTTTTTTTTTAACATTTCGCTCACATACACACATACTCATTTCTTGTCGAGATCAAAAACAAAGTCTAAATTTCACCATTCGCAAAATTTTTCAATTGCAAGTAGCAAGTGAACTACGCAACATCGTAATTTTTAGCGATCAATTAGAAAAAAAAAAACGTAATGTCAAACTTGTGATTTCCTTGGAACACTTTGTGTGGGTGTGTGAAAATGACATTACTTCTAATTCGCATCAATGCAAAGTTCCATTGGTAAACAGCAACCCGATGCAATTAAGAATAAAATAAATCTAATGAATATTTTTTTTTTTAAACGAAAATTATTCGAATAAATGAAAAAAACATTCCTAAAATTATGCAGTACACACATTGGAGTGAGTAGATTCCATTCGCCTCTTTTTTTCTGACCAGATTGTGTTTTTCTTTCATTTTTGTGTTTTGCGTTCAATCATGTGAACACAATATATTGGGCATTCTCATCTTCCAATAAGACACGTTGAAGTTGCAGGCAAACTTCATTGTGTGTCAATCGTGAATTTCGTTGAATATTTTGTTTGTTCAATTTTGAGTGTCTACGCGATAGATCGATCACGACTTAAAACTTGCATAATTGCTAAAATCCGTAATAAAGGTAGATTATCCATGAATTTACTATGAATTGCGTGGTCTCTGCTTCCTTGTTTTGCTATGATTTTTTCGTCTCATTTTACTTTTGTTTTTACTAGTTTCCTATCATTTAAATTAGATTTTCTTTTTATTCTTTTTAATAACGATACCTATTAAAAGAAGAGTTTTTTTTTATTTTTCATAAATAATTTGATATCTTTTTTTCTTAACTTTTTGTGTTAAATTGGTTTATGTTCATGTGTGTGTGTATTTTGTGTTTTATGCTGTATTTAACGCAAAAGCACAATCGCCCTTTATCACAGTTTATATCATTTATGTTTTGAATGCTATTCTTCTTCTCTGTCGCTTGTTGTTTTTAGTCGTAATTGTTTTCTTCTTCTTCTTCTTCTTCTTCTTCTTCTTCTTCTTTTGTTATGTCGCATTGGAAACTTTAGCACAAATCTCATCAAATGTCTTTACGGTTCTGTTTCAGATATCTATCTAACGAGATGGTAGTGACATTTAATACTATTTTCTTCCCAAACCATTTAGCTTTGATAGTAAATTGTTGGAAATGTAACAGCCATTTCGGCAGTTAGCGAATGCCGTTTGCATTTGTGAGAAAGGCGGAGAAAAACAATTGTGAATTTTGGAATAATCGGCTTTTTTTTCGTTCGCTCGATTACACCGTTATCGTATGATCGATACTTCCGTATGATCACGACTTGTTTCATTTGTTTTCTTTGTGTCCGTTGGCGCTTCCATTTAATTTTAGTCGTTTGGCTGGGAATAGAATCCACGCTGTAACTGCAACCAATTAAAACCGAAAACTGTTTTGGAAACAGCTGTTTCCTACTTCTGTGTGTATTTTGGACCGCCAGCAGTGGCAGTGACTGATTTGAATGCGTTTGTCTTCGATTCAGTGGATCGGTTGTTCCCTACAATGTTCAATCATTTCTATTCTGTGTTTTTGCATTAAATTTTCATTAAATTCAATTTTTTTTTTTTCCATTTTTTTCTCTCAGTTTTTTGTCAATTTGCAAAGCAAATTTTTCTTTGATTAGGCTATTTTATTGTTATTTCTAATAATTTGTCATCAAAAGTCAAGTGAGCGAGAACACATAGTGAATTTTATTTGAATCGTATGTTTTAAGCCAGGCTTGGCATGAATCTACGATTTAGTGGACATTATGAATGTTTCAACGTGAGATGCAATATGGATGCCACTTTACATGACTTTTGATCCTTATTAAATGATAATAATTAAAAGTAGATTCCTAGAAAAGAATAGTTTCTTGATCATTTTGTTTTCTTTTTGCGTTGCTATGTTCTTTTTTACGCGTTACTTTGAAGAAATCAAATATGCAATTCGAATGAATTTGATTCTATTATGTACGAGAGATAGAGAGAGAAGGAGTGGTGTTGCAGCATTAGGTGCTGAATTGGTATGAACTGTCTGTATGTTTGTTTGATGTTTTCTTGTTTCGTTTCAATCAAGTAGTTGTTAGTCAGATAAATTTCAAGCGGTTAAGAATTTGTATGAAAAAAGTGAATGAATTATTAATTTTTGTTTTGTTTTTTAACCAAATTTCTTTATGAAGATTTCTTTTAAAAAGTCATACAAAATCTTTTGTTTTTGTTTGTGAGTGTGTTTGTTTTTTCTTCTGTTTTGCAATGTAAACGGTTCTGTTTTGAATAATTGATGATTTGTTAAACTGATTGTTTTTATGTGCTCGGGTCTTGAGTAGTAATTGTCTAGATTTTGATAGCATTGGGTTCTGTTTGAGAAGTTCTACGAATGAATTGTTATAGAGACGTTTCAAACGCGATGTACAATTCAGTTATCAGCCCACCAGTCGGGTCCACTGGAATGATTTTGTCCGCCGCCATAGGATCCTCCATAGCTACCACCGCCTCCGCCGCCACCGCCACCGCCACCTCCACCGTAATAATTGCCTAGAAAATGTAGCATTTTTTTCAGAATTTCGGTCAATCAGAAATCAATGTCTCTTATTTTCACATCGGAACTGAAGTTTTGAATTAAAAAAAAAAATAAACAGCTAATGAACAGTATATGAATGTAATTTACCTCGGTTACCATATCCGCCTGGATTTCCTCTTCCTGGGTTTCCGTTGCGATTTTGGTTGGTGTTACGACTCTGGTTGGTACGGAAATCACGGGAAACGGCATTGTAACGGCCACCTGAGCGATTGCCACGTCTTCCACCGTGTGAGCGTTCGCTGAGCATAATGTCTTCCAAGAAATTAGGCAATTCTTGCTTCGTTTCGATCAACAATTCAACCAAATCTGGGCAAATTGAACGATTTTTATCGTTGAAGAAGCTAGTTGCAACACCCAAATTGCCCATACGACCGGTACGACCAATACGGTGCACATACTCTTCGACATCCGATGGCAAATCAAAGTTGATGACATGCTTAACGTTCGGAATGTCTAAACCACGAGCAGCGACTGCAGTTGCAACAAGAATTGGACACGTGCCCGAACGGAAGCAACGCAAAGCTTCTTCACGCTCTTTTTGCGTACGATCACCGTGAATGCTTGTCACTGGATGATCGTAGCGATACAAGAAGTCTTCAAGCTCATCAGCGCCCTTCTTTGTTTCAACAAAAATCAATGTCAAATGATCACCTTCCAATTCGGCGTTGCCTTCTTTGATCGATGTCAACAAATCCAGCAAATATGATCGTTTGTCGTGCTCATTTACCCACAAAATGGTCTGTGTAATATTCTCAGAAGTTGAACCAACGCGTCCTACGGCCAAGAAAATGTAATTGTTCAAGAACACACTGGCCAACTCTTGAATGGCTTTCGGAAACGTGGCTGAGAACATGAGCGTTTGACGTTCACCAGTTGGTGGCATATTACTCTTTTCGACGATACGACGAATCTGCGGCTCGAAACCCATGTCCAGCATTCTATCAGCTGATGCGAACCAAACAGAAACGGTCATTGTTTTGTCAGTTTTGCATTGTTTAAAATAGATAGTAAAAGCTTACCTTCATCCAATACCAAGAAACGGATATTGTCCAAACCAACTTTGCCACGTGTAATCATATCTTCCAAACGACCTGGCGTTGCAACGATCAAGTGGCATCCGTGATCCAATTCGCGCATCTGTTCGCCAGTGTTGTTTCCACCGTACAAAACAGCAGGGCGCATACGTGAGCGGTACGAGAATTTCTTGGCTTCTTCGTAGATTTGTGTGGCCAATTCTCGAGTCGGTGCGAGTACCAATCCCAATGGATACTGCTTGCGTCGCATGCCTGGACGATTAGTGTATGGTGTGACGGTGATTCCGCGCACATACATCTGATTCAAGATAGGCACCAAGAATGCAGCAGTTTTACCAGAACCTAGAAGCGTTAAAAGAACGAAAAGAAATATTGTTCATCCCACGTGAATATATTGTGGCATTGAATTGGTAGATCGATTTGTGTGGTGTAACAGTAATTGCTACTAACCAGTCTGGGCGCAAGCCATTAAATCTCGTCCAGCGCAAATGATTGGGATCGCATACTTTTGTACTGGTGTCGGTTTATCGTAGCGGGCATTTTGAATGTTGGTCTGGATGATAGGTGTCAGCTGAATGTCATCGAACGAATTAATATTTGGTGGCACTTGGTTGCCAGTCGCTTCCACGGGTATGTCTTCGTACTTGTTGAAGTTGATGCCAGTATTACCCGTTCCGAACAATTCCGTTTCCAATCTCTCGTTGCGCGGCAAAAGGACCGTGTAGTCGACGTTGTCGCCTCCTTTTGGTATGGTTCGTTGATTATTTCCGAATTGCGTATCATTACGCTTGTCTGGCTCTTGCCATCGATCATTTTGAATTGGGGCATCATTACGGTCGTTTCGGTTGTATTGTTGGCGGTTGTTGTATCCACCGCGATACCCATCGTCACGACGTTCATAGTTATTATCACCGTTTTGGTAAGAGTCCTCACGGCGATTATTACGCGGATAATTATTGTAATCACCACCCGGGCGGTCTTGGCGATCACTATTTCTTCCGCCGTAGTTTCTTCGGTTATTCCGATTATCGTTCCTGTAGTTATAATTTGGACTTATTCAGTAGTGACCAATTACATAGATAGTTACTAAATTATTCTTAGTAACTTCTAACAACTAGTAATACGATTCCATTTTATTTCTCCAGTTATATATCTAGTGTTTATAGTTATTAGAATGTTATTGGTCGAATGAGTAATAAGATGCTTGGCATTTTATTAGTATAGTTATAGAAGATATTAGCAATAAGATGGTGCAGAAATTATTGTTGAACCAGATTTTCATGATTCAAATTTTGAACGGATCTAAGCAGAATTTGGCAAAAATAATAAGTTGATCCACTGTCCGTGAAGGAACGACTGCTAAAGTACTAATAACTATACTCACTGGATATATGTTATTGGTGCAAAAAATTAATGAGTAATAACATTGTTTTATCTTATTGGACCAATAAAGAGGGGAAAATCACTCTAGAAAATTACTTTTTCGGTTCACAAATTACTTTCACTATTACTTTTTCGAAGAGAATTACAAATTACTTTTTATCATAGAAAAATATATTTTTGACAAGTAATTTCTAATAGAAAAGTAATTTATCGAATAAAAAGTAATTTGTAGTAATTTTTAGTCGAAAAACTACATTCAAAATTACTTTTTGTTCAACGAATTACCTAAAAACTACTTGTCAGATAGAAAATATTTTTGAGTGATTTCCCCCTCGACCAATAAGCAATAAAACCACTAGAAGTAAGATACCAAAAGTGCCAAAGTTTACCTGTAGTCACGGTTGTAGCCGCCTCCGTCGCGATAATTCTCTCGATTTCCACCGCTATAGTTACGATTTCCACCACCGCTGTATCCGTCCGATTCTGCCGAATTATTATTACCACCACTTCCTCTCAAATGCGGGGGTATATAACGCGCTTGACCTTCGGCGTTATCACCACAAAGACTAAGCGAATCTTTGTGATCATTCAAGTCCAGACCAGCAATCTATACGAACAAGAAAAGTCATGTATCATTATTTGCATTTGCTCTGTGAAAAAACCGTTTATTATCCACAAATTAAATCAACTAAAATAAGTAGCACGTTTGAAATCCTTTTCATTTTCTTTAAATTGAACTCTCTTTTTTTCACATTTTACAAAGAAATTCAAGCAAATTTTCTTATCGCGCCAATACGACTTTTTCATTTATTCGCACTATAATTGACCTCCAATCTTAAGTCTGAGTTTCAAACTGATGAAAATTCACAGCATTTATTAGCGTTGAATTTATGTTATTGCATTGATGGAATCAGTCAACGTTTTTTTTTTCCTCGTCTTCATTAAATATTCACGAGAGGGAGAGAAGAAGTCTTGATTAATTGCTTCAAAATTTGTTACGAAAGCAAAGAATACAGTAGCAACGCTTTTAAATGTCGTTTTCTCATTCTATTTCTTGATTTGGCGATTAATTCACTGCTTAGTTCAATATTCGGTCACGAATACACGCATACACACACATACACTCATACGAATACAAGCGCATGTTTCATCGATACACGAGTTCAAATAAGCGAATAGCTCAATAGAACTGGGGAATGCCGTACAACAATAGATGTAACACAAATGGCCGCCATTTGTATAAAATACACGCGTACTATAATTTTATTTTCTTCAAATTTACTTTGTTTCATACGAATGAACGAACTACTTTAGGATTTATCATGCGAAAAATGCGATGCAAAATCATTTATCTATTTAATAAGATTCGTTTGATTTGCATCGAATTGTGCAATAATCTGATCACTATAAAACCACATGCTTCTTCATCGATTCCATCGGAAACTGTATTTTACGCTGACTAAGGAATTGCACTGAATTTCGAAATTCATATTTTTTTTTCTTCGGGTTATGTACCTGCTGCTCTAGACCTGCATTATTTTCAATTCTTCCATTACTCATATTACTCCAATCGGATGTTAATTGTTTTTTTTTTCGCTCGTCTGTTCGTTGACTGATTAACGGGATAGCTGAATTTCAATTCGTAGAATGTACTTCGGTTCCTCTTATGGAAATTTACCACACTATGGCGTACTATGGCCAATGGATTTGAGTTTTTTTTTTTTTCGTTCACACAAAAAAAGTTCACTTGAAAAGTGTTCGAATCGTTTTATAAGCACTTCACCGCGTTAAATATCGTTGAAGTCGGTCCGTTTGATTGGTTCACAAATTGATTTAATAATTTATTTCGTTGATCAAATGCAAATTGATTTCACGAATTATTTACACAATGTAAGAAAGCAATTTACACAAAGTCTCTTTGTTTCGCTATAGAGTGCGCGATGCTTGCAACTTGATTAGCGAAATGAAATTTAATTCAACTAATAAAAAGTGTTGGTTTATTTTTTTTTTCTTCAAAACTATGTATATCACACACGTAGGTTTTTGAACACAGTTTTTTTTCTCTTTGAATCGGGGAAAAAATTCGAATTTCTTATTATTTTTTTTATACTTTTTGGTCTTACGGGGAATATTTCATTCCTTCCAATACCACTGTCACACTCGCTCTTCACGATGAAAAAAAAATCTTTTTAGCTTTTGCAATGCTGCCACTAATTTCTCATGAAAATGGCTATAAAGGCTACACGCGCACTAATACTAACACAATAATTCCTATTCGCATAGTTCTCGGTGACGCATATCAATGAAGAACATTGTGCTAACCATGCAGAATGCTCTCAATGGCTGTTGTTGCTGTAGTGTATGTTTGTGTGTGTGTATGTGAGTGTGTTCGAATGTTACACTAGACTTTGGCTCCGCTTTTCGTATTCGTCGAACAAACGTGTGCTCGTCTCTGTGACTGTGTGGGTAGCACATCATCCGCGTTTGCATAGCACTTGTGATTCAAACACAGTTCAATGTGAAACATCTTCTCAAATATTGAAAGGTTGGCAATGCTTGAAATGATGATTTTGAATGAAAATATGATGAATAATTAAAATTTCCTCGGAATTTTTACGAATTTACAACCGATTTGACAGAACGAATTCGATAGCATACATTCCCTATAATGAAGATCATTTTATACGTGTGGTGAATATTGTGCAGTTGCTATCCAAGTATGATGGTTCGTCTACACTCAAGACAAGTGCTATAACACCCATGTGTTTGAAAAGTCAACCGCCAGCTGTTTCGACCTTACAGTCAACTCATCATCAACCAATCTTATTTATTACCGCTCCCAATCTATTAACGATATAGATTTAAGAAAAAATTAGAGAAAAGACAGTTCATTTTGCATTAAAAAAAAAGTCAAACTCATATTTTCGATTTTATTTTATTTCAAATCAATGACAAATATTTTATAATAGATGAATTAGTATCAAAAACACTTTCAAACGGGGAAATTAATTTCAAACAAATAAAAACTAATACCATGGCAGTCGTCGACGATGATATTAAATTAAATACATATAAAACTCTTTTGAAAATGCATGATTTATGAAATCGTTGCAGTGTGAGGGTGGTTATTAGCAAGAAAAACTTAAGCTTTATTGTTAATTTTAATGCAATGAATGAGCCGACTTTATGGCATGAGTTAGAGAAATGTATGTGGATTAGTTTTCCGCTACAGTCACTTGTTCAGGCAATGGTGGTTCTGGTTTCGTGGTTGAATCGTCCTCCTTATTGCTTGCGTCGATTTCTACTGGACTATCGTCTTTTGAGTCGACCACGACTTGACCGTTCTGGCCTTCATCAGTCTTATTTTCGTTGCCGGCAACGGTGTTTTCGTTGGTTGGAACGACATCAGCCCCGCTTGCTTCAGTTTCTTTGCCAGTATCCTTCGATTGAGATTCATCGGTACTTTTTCCGTTTTTACCTTTATTCTTCTTTAACTTTGCTGATTTCTTATTTTCTGGTGCTGCCGTTGCTGCTGCACCATTTTTTCCCTTTTGTTTGTCGTCTTTCTCGATTGCATTCAATTGTCCTTGTAGTTGAGCGAGTGTTTCTTTCAGCTCTTTGCAATTCTGAGTCATCATATCGAGTTTATCAGCTGGTTTTGGTGGTGGCTCAATGTCTGTTGGTTCGGGTGGTAGTTCCGGCATCGCCGGTCTTTCAATATTATTCACCTTGAGTGTGTCAAGCAATGCAGCACGTTCAGCCTGAAGGGTGCGGCATAACTTTTGCAATTGAGCCAACTGACGTGCGGACTTTTTCGTGTATTCATCTTGGGCTTGCTTATCGGAAATCGTATTCAACAATGCTCGGTTGGATTTCTCGTACTTTGAACGCCATTCGTACGCTTCTTTCTCCAATGTTTTGGTTCGTTTTGCCATTTTTTCTAATTCAACTTTATATGTGGCGAAAACACCATTGCTCTTCTGTAGCGAATTTTGGAATTGGTCATACTTTGACGTGTAAATCGAAAGCTGCTCTTTAAGCGCCCGTTCGCGACTTTCCATTTCGGCAATTGCTTTTTTCGTTGCTAAAACCTCCTCAAGAGCCGCTTGCTTTTCTTTCAGCAAAATTTCCTTTTCAATCGTTGATTCCATGTGCACCTTAGCCAGTTTTGCCTCGTTCAACTGAGTTTCCAATTTGATTTGTTCGTTAAGTTTTTCCAATTGCATTTCACGCAACTCATATTGTTCGGCCAAATACTTGAATTTTTTGGTCATTTCCGTGTTTGCTTCCTTGATTTTCAGATTTTCATCGTTGTTTTTGCCAAGAGTGCTGAAAATTTCGTTGATCGACTTTTGGAAATGAGCCTGAGTCTCTTTTCGCTTTTCTTCCTCATCTCGAATCTTCGACATACTCTCGCTTTTTATCGACTTCATGAGCTTCTGTTGTTCACGACATACTTGCTCCAATTTATCTCTGTTGCCAGAAATGATGAAAGGACATTTTAGTTGTTGTAAAATTATTGGGCAACATTTTCACAAGTGAAGCGGCAAGAAAAGAGTTTGAAATAAAACCGGTTTTGTAACTCATCACCTACCTAATCAAGACACCTTTATTGTATTCGCGCTGTAAATGCTCCTTTTCGCGCAATTCCTTTTCCAGAACCTTTTCACCTTGTCTCAACGAAGCCGTCTGTTTGTTGTTCTCTCGTTCCAATTCGACATAATTTTTGGCCAATTGCGCAACCTTTTGCTCGAGACTTGTTGAGCTACCCAGTGACTTTATCAACTAATATTTTGAAATGTACAACAAATTTTAACATTCACTCATGAATTATTCGTTTCAATAAAAGCTTACTTTCTCGATTTGTTCGTCAAGTTTTGCGGTCGCTTGTTTTTCTTCGCGGCTCGCTTTCGATTTTCCCTTGGTTGAATCCATATTTTCCGTGTCAAATTTATAAAAAAAAATTCAAATTGTTTTGCATTCGCCGAATCAAATTTAACCTTTTACTACAAATTATTATCAACTAAAAGACAAATGAAAATTCCTTTTAGCCAGGATAAAGATTGAAGTAGAAGAATTGTGTTCAAATTTTATGTTAAACGTTCTGAGGTTATGTCAATTGTTTTTTCGATAATTCCATAAATGGAAGATATTCAATGATTGACAGTGGTTCAAACATGAACAAAGTACGTTTGCATTTGGTGTCAGTTCAAACCATTTGTCGTCACTGCTAATGTACTTTAAGATGTTGGACGGAAAGTTTTTCTGATTCCAAAATGGGTTTCTTTTATGAAAATTGCTAGAAATATTTTCCAAATGCTGTAAACATTCGAAACGATTTTGTTAAATCAATATGATTTAAAAAAACATCGTATTTTTGCCGCTTCGTGACGTGAGCTGAATGTTTTACAGTTGTCAAACAGCCTGTCATAATAGCAACGATAAGAAATTTCCATAACCTAACTTGTTTGCATTTCATCAAAACAAAAGTGGTTGCATGACTTCGATTTTCAATGCGACAACCAATGAAATAAATAGAATTGAAAGTGTAACGATTAGCATTCCGAAATGGAATTATACATTTACAGTGGTTTTGATCAACTGCCATCGATTGATTTCGACTGTCTTCGAATTGCGGTAAACAAAGACTTTGCACATCCACATGATTTTAGCTAGAAACAACGACTGATTCCCAATCATTTCCGCAGGCATATGTGAAGTTCAAAGAGATACCCGTGAAAATATCAACCAATGGTAATCCACATCATTCTCCAACGGGCTTTTTACCATATTTAAAGGACGATAATAAAATAGTTGCCGGATATGATGAAATTATCGAATTCTTTCGATCGAAGGTAAAGTAAAAACTGAACCACACAATTTTCTGTGAGAAAATGTTAATTTCCATACATCTACGTTAAACTTTGCAGGGTTTCGGTAGTGGAGACTTCATATCCGCCTCATATGAAGCATACTTTGAATTTCAGTTCCTGCCGTACTTTCGCTACGTTCTATTTGGTGATCCAAACAATGCTGACACAACACGCATTCTGTACGCTAAAAGGACTCCATTCCCATTCAATTTCGTTTATCCACAAAAGTACATCAAACAAACGTCGGAGTTTTTAAAAATCGTTGCAAACTTTTCAATCGAAGACAAACTAATACACCACAACACAGCCGACATGATCCTAAATGCGAAGAAATACATTAATATGTTGACAGAACGAATCGACAAGAAGCGTTGGTTTTTTGGCGGTCAAAAGCCGAATGAATTCGATGCAACCATCTATGCGGCCATATCCATTCTGTTAAATCTTCAGCTTCCAATCAATGATTTGAAATCGCACATCACTGAGTGTCCGAATTTAGTAAATTACATCGATAGGATACGCAAAAAATACCTGATGGATATTCGAGTCGGCGAAAGTGAACCAAATCCCGCCATATTCAATCGCGTACAGAATGTTTTCATCAACAAAGAGAAGGGAACTTTATCGAATGCAGTTGTAAAAACAATGTTCGGTTTTTTGACCGTGGGTGCAATGGTCTTTTTTGCAATAAGCCATGGCATATTGGAAATTGTGACGGATGACAATGACAACGATAATGCACAATACTACGGAGATGATGACGATTCGGAAACGTTCGGTGACGAATGAAGTTAATAAAGCGAGAAACGATGAAACAATTTTCATTTTTAATCACATTTAAGTAAGGTGATGAATAAGACTTTATTTGGTTCAGTTTCAACTGAATGGATAGATACAAATTATTAAATAAAAGAATCGAATATGGATAATTATAATTTCACACAGTACAATTTTGTAGAGCTCATAGCATCAAACGCGATTCCGGTTGAATCGTTACAAAATTAACCGCTACAATAATTTTGAATTAACTATCGTGTAAAATTCATTCACAATTTAGCAAACCATTGAGGAAGTTAGTGTTTAATGCAATAACGCTCTTCACTGAATCACATAAAATAGAGTTTGATTTAATCAGCTAAATACATTTAGATGTCTGCATTGTGGAATTGTTGAAGTGAACGTGAATGCTTCATTGGAATGCCCGATGTTGCTGCTAATACTTCTTTGATAAATGTGTCTGAGTTGTGGATGGTGGTTCCACCCAGTATGCATTTGTATCCTGATAGATTCATGGCATGAACGGCCAGAGCCTCTTCATAAGTGGCACCTCCCACAATGAAAACAATCATTTGTTGCGGTGGTCTTCTGAAAGAAAGTTCCGAACCAATGCACGGATACATTGGATCAAGTGGTCGACCCTTGAAAACATCTTCCAAAATCTCTTTTAGTAAACACGAATGCTGAGTGTATACATTTTCAACTCCTTTGAGACCCTGCATAAATGGAATATGGAAATAGTAAGTGCTTGAAACTTTCTGAGAAAAATGGCATTCAAATACATACCTTGATCAAACTCCTTGTTAGTTTGACCGCGTCCATGATTTTGACATTGTTGAACAGATCGCCCTGTCGAGCATGTTGACCAGCATACTCAAGCATTCGTGGTACAACGTGTACATCGCCTCCCCTCTGTTTCAAGGTGTTCAGAAGGCCAACGGTGTCACAGTTGGCATGCCGTTCGTAACGCAGCGCATACAGCAAGATCAAACGAAGTGCATTTTTCAACGAAATTCTGTCATCAGCCACTAATTTCTTGACCCGTTGCAACTGTGCCGAATGATCGGCACGACAAGAAATCTCCTGTTCCAATTCCGACACTTCAAGTAATTGTAGCTTGGCTATCTGGTTCGATAGTTCTCCAATTACGACTACATGTTTTGTTATCGTACCAGACATTTTCTGTGAATCAAGTCATTCAAGATTATTTGGTTTCCGCTTTGATGGTAAAATTAGAGTATTACCTTAAATTGTGGATAAGTTTCGACAAAGTTTTTCATATCGGCTATGCTTTCAACTTTCTTCTGACTCTTTGCTTTGATTTGGAATTCATCCATAAGCGTTTTGATGGTCTGTCCAATTTCTCCGAAATTCGAATAGATATTCTGTGAATGCATTCAATTAGATGGTCAAGTTTCTTTTCATGCACATTTTTAAGCCGTTAAATATATTGAAAAGATGGTTAAAGAAAAAAAATGCTTACGTTTGCATAAAATTCATCTTGTTCTGTTGACAAAACCACTTCTTTCATATCCTTGGGAGCTCCATCGATGCCCGACATGTCAACGCGATTGTTATTTATCGTTAACAGCTCGTGAACCATTGCTTGATACGTCCATTGGTTCAACAGAGGTGTAACGGGATCATCCTTACGATCCAAGATCAGAAGCAACGGTGGCGGTGCCCCATTTTCTTGAGATCGAAAGTCGAACAAGGTATTTTCTTTCGAAATCTTATCATAACATTCCTTGGCTAGTTGCTGCGCCGGTTTGCTGGCGCCGCTGTAGCGGATGTTTGGTCTCAGTTTCAGTGAGAGTAACAATGCGGTTAGGCTGTCTGTCGATCGGGCAAGAGCGTCACGATCCCAACTTTGGCCATGCAAACAGTTGGATAGATTGAATGAAAACAAGTTCGAATTCACTCCAAGATAGTCGGCGTAGATCTCTTTCACCTCTCGTACCGATTCACTTTCATCACTTTCGGCCAATAGTTTGATGTCTGTTCGTGGCACAATGTTACTGAAATCTATTCACAGAGAACGTAATTAGATTAATTGTTATTAAAAATTATGAAAAGAAAATTTGCACATACATATGTAATAAGATCCGAATCGGGGATTCCGCAGCTCATGACAAAGGAAAGCAATATTGTTTTTCGTGGGCCGAATAAAAACAATGCACTTCAGATGTTTCATTCGCTCATTCGATTTGGCTGTATCGATGCGTTCAAACAAATACACCTCTTTTTGTAGCATATCCGACTGGCTGAATGCCATCGATACGATGCTCGTCTGTGAATTGGATTGAATCGATAAAGAGACTTGAACAATATGTTTTTGGAATTAACACCTAAAATGCAATTGAAACATTATCCCATATTTTGTTTTAGTGTTTCAATCAAATATTGAGTATTTTGGTTCATTTTGAAGCAATTATCCCCAATACTGACCGTATCTTTATCCATCAGAAGTATTTTCATGCCAGGGCCCGATTCACTGGTCATTTTATTAATGTAAAGTTTCACAGCTGTGATGACATCCATCTCTTTAAATGCCTTTGCTGATCGCACTACCCAATAAAATATTTTCACAAAACGGTCACAGATCAAGCATAAACAGGTAACACTTCAATAAATTTGCTTGAAATAGACACAAATCGTATTTTTTGTCATCACTTTGCTAGCAAAAAGACGTCAACACAGAAGAAAGCAAGCAATGAACTCAAGTGACATTAAAAAAAAATGGGCAAAGTTTGACGTGAATGTCATTTACGTGATGAAGCACGAATGCTGCACACAGCGTCACGTCGTTTGCATGTAAACGCAACTCAATCGTCACTAACACAGACATAAAAAAAAAGTGAAAACTCATTTGAAAGAGGCTTCTGTCAAAATAATGAGTTTTTGTGCTTGCTAATGATTGAAGTGGACTCTTTCGAATTATTTATTTTCTTTTTTGCGAATGAAAATAGCATTATACCGACAAAAAATCCCATTGGAATACAATCAAATAAATTGATTGGCAATAAATTAGCAGAGAAAAATTCAGTATGAACATAACTATTGAACGAAAGAAAACAGATTGCAATGCACTGCCAAAGGGATGGCAACGCGAAGAAGTGCTTCGGAAAACTGGACTGTCAGCGGGCAAAGTAGATGTTTATTATTACAGGTAACTAAATCTATTCCATGTTCATCAAACTGTTTAATTTGCCAAAATTCAAAAACAGCAACATTTTCATTGCTTCAATCATCTATCATTGGCTATATTTAAAACAACAACCAGAAAAAAATGTTCGAAAATTTCATAATCATTTAAAATGTTAAGCAAATATCATGTAATAATTAATGTGAAATCCCCCCAATTAAAAAAAAAACCCAATGCCAATGTGCATTGCAATAGCCCAAGTGGTGGTAAAGTCGAAACCAAATCAAAATTAGTGCGTCAATTGGGCGAAACAATTGATCTCTCAACGTTTGATTATCAATCGGGCCGTCATCAAATGCTCAATGCAAGCCCAAATTCGTCTCCGTCTCCATCTCAGCCATCGGGCAGCAGTCAGTCGATGGTTAATCCATTTCAACGACCGTCGATACGACGTCCGATTCATGAATCGCTAATGGGCCCACCTTCGCCTGTAGCATCAGGTGCATCAAGGTATACAGAAATTTAAAAAAAAAAACGGTAGTATCAGTCTCGTGATGGGTCTCGTGACGTAATGTGCAACCAAACAATATTTGGCGTATTCATTTTGTTTTTCCTGTTCAATGTCTTTTTTTCTTCTTAGCCGTGGATTGCGATTCTTCAAAATTGATCTATGAAAAAAAAAATTGATACGATTTGGTCTACGATTCCAAAAACAAATTTACAACATTGGCATTGAAACTAAACACAGTTTTATGAAGAAAACATTTTTTTGTTGATAAATCGCAATACCAGATAGATCCCTCCCCCCTCTCAATTTCACACACTATGACATTCTCATTGCTTTATTTCTCTTTAGTTTGCCACTTAAAATGCTTTCCCACACCTTTCCATTGCTATTTCACATATTTCCACATCATCATTTCATTCATTTATGTGCATATTTATATAGCTCATTCATAATAATTGAGCAAAGTGTTCACGAAATCATTTTGGCTTTTGGTTTTAATTCTTTGAAGCAGTCGCGGTATTCGAACGGATGTTTCGTTGGTGCCACCAATTCGACAAACAGCATCCATCTTTAAGCAACCGGTTACAGTACATCGAAATCATGATTCCAAAGTGAAAAATGATTTGAAGCATGGTACATCACAAGAGAAGCCAAAACAACTCTTCTGGGAGAAGCGTTTAGAGGTGAGTCGATTATTTTATTGTTCAATGGTTTGATTTGAATTTTGAATGTGATTCGTTTTGATGTTGCAGGGTTTACATGCATGCGATATGGATGGCAATGATTTTGGCCCGATTGAGCTACCTCGTGGCTTGAAACCCGTTGGACCGCACGTTGACAATGGAACGCTGCTACAATCCGTCACAACGGCACTGCATCTGAACAGTACGATAGCGATTACCGGGCAAACTGCACCGAAATCAGCACTCACATCCAATGCTGGCGTCTTTTTGAATCCAGAACAACCACTCATGCATGCCGTTACAATCCATGACGACGACATTCGACGACAAGAGGATCGCGTCACAAACGCTCGCAAAAAACTACAAGACGCATTAAAGTGCTAAACGTTTTTTTTTTTAAATATATATAAATACTTTTTTTGTAATTCGTCAATTGATAAACATAAGAGTTCACTAGATCACATCGTCAAAGATTTGTTTTCGTTCAACACGTGTGTATATTTTGACATCAATTAGGAAAATTATCATCCGGACATTCTATTTGTTTGGCAGTGCAAATTTAGAAATCGATAACTCCAACTAAATATGTGAAACGCTACAAAGAAACATCCTAGATTTTTTAAGAAGAAAAACCACATTTACAAAGATTTATTTCTACATTTTTTTTTTCTCACGGTTTGATTGTGAAAAACGTATTCAATTTTCACAATCTACGACAACTTTGGCTTTCTGACATTACACATAAGAACAATATCATTAAAATGTCAATATGAAATAACTCGATTAAGAATAAATCGTAATTTTGATTGGATTCAAATTCCAAAATCTATACAATTGTCTTTCTTTTCTTACCTTTAATCAATAGTTTCAATCAATTCATCATGTAAAAAAATGCTGAAAAAAGAACTAAAGCCCACAAATGAAACGAGCGATCGCTTTGATTTTTATATATTTTATGTAATTTTATTACAATTTGTATATCATAATTTTTATTATCTGTTCATTTTCTTAAACTGATAGTAATTTTTTTTTGTCGGTATTCTTTTCGTGTTTGCGTAAATGTTATTCATTTAAAATGTTCTCCTCAATCAGAATCTCTGCCTATATTTTGACTTGTTACATTCCAGCCAATGTGTGTGATACAGGTTGTGTTTTGTTTTGCTAAAGTGAAATTATAATTTAAAAATTGTTTCTCCTACTCTCTGATTTCAGGTGTATAATACTTTCTTTGAACTTTGCCTTTTCTCCCCTTTTCTGTCGTTTGTCTTCATGTTTCTCTAAATTGAATTTGAAACTTGTAAATGGATCTATATCTGTTTATGCTTTCGATTATAATATGCAAGTAAATCTACATCATTTGATCAAACATTTGTTTTTCTTCTGATGATATATATATTCATTATTATCTTTTATTATTCATTCAGATTGTTTTGCAAATTTTTCAATTTTCATAGAGTTTTCGTTTCATTTCATCTGTTCCTCTTCATAAATCTTATTTTTTTTTCAACCCATTAATTTCATTGCACATATTCGAAGTCGAAATTAAAAACCAACAATTTCTTCTGAATTTTACTTCATTTTCTAATATTTGTTTTCTCTTAAATGTTTTATAGTTAATTTCCGTCTTTTCACAACAACTATCATGTTTTCTCGCTTTGATTTAAGTACAGTACAGTACAGTACAGATGGCATCTCGACCATTCACCCATTCAATCCATATCTCTGAATAGTTTAACGCAATTGAAGAAGTATTCCAACTTTATAATAGTGATAATTAACTGGACCGTTTTTATACTTTGAATGTCATTAATTTTGCGTATTTTTTTTTAGCTACAACAAATTTTGATTGTTCCGAATTTAAGAAAAAAAAAATTGTGCGTTTTTTTTTCTTTAGAATTACAATAAACTGAAACAAAAGTGCCGTTATACAACCTGTGCGCATGACTAAATGATAAAAAAAATAGATTTATGCGAATTTCAATATGGAAGCAATACAATTTCAATGGAATATTCTTCGGCCAAATGCACATTTCAGATTACAATACACGAATAAATTTAAACTAAAAAAAAACTGGTTCATTGCGATGAATACATCATTGTCTCATAAACTCCAAATAAATACAGAACATAATGTACAAAAAACGAGACATTGCCCATCGTACGCGAAATATTTGTTTCTCTCTTTGTTTTTAGTCAAATTGCGAATTAAATCTAAATAGAGTCGGTCTGGAGGGATATAATTGACATTTAAACATTTCGACCAAATGATTCTGAATCCTAAATAAACAGCACAATTCTTCTAAAAAAAAAAATATAATGCATACTCAAAACGGGCTTTGCCATTTGTGTATGCATTTAAAATCAAAATGATTAAAGTAAATTAGATTCCAATTTCCACATACACACGTAAAGTGTGTCAATAATATAAATAAGGTCAATCTAATGAAAATTAATTTCTCTCTAAAACACATCATTTTCTATAACATTAGAAGCGTTACTATGCCCGCTCAATTCATCTGTCCGCTCTATTTCTTTTTCTCCCATTTTTCTAATCATCCTCATTTGAATTTCAATCTGAATGCATACTATATACGGCATTAATGCAATGTTGTGGTTTATTTTTTGTCAATGTGATTTAAAAGAAGAACTAATGTGTCATTATGCAAAATATGATATAATAATGAATTAAATTACTATTTCGAATGACACACACTTCAAGAGAAAACAATATAACACCTATTTTTAGATTTAAATCATACACATTTTGTTAGATTTTGCGCTTTGTCACTGTCGAGAATGCAATAACGAAACGGCAGACATGATCATGACATTGCGATGGAAAAGTAGTGATAAAAGCGAATAGCGATGATGCGTTCGGTTTTTATTTTGATTTCTCCGTTTTTTTTTTCTTCACAAATGTAAATTTTTCGTCAATATTATTGTGTTGCACTCTTCTTCTACCTTATCACGCTCGTGATGATTCTGTGTCCTGGACCAACGAACTCTACGAAGAACTTTCTGTTTTTTTTTGTTTGCGTTAAAATAAAATCTAAAATATTTTAATATGAAATATTCAATTAAACCGTCTTCATTATGTCGTGCTTTCAAATGTCCATTATTTTACGAATATAAAATAAAATAAATTAGTGTGTTTGTTTGTGTGTGTGTGTGTGTTATATAAGTAGTTTTGAGTTGTTTGTATCCACAAATTCCCTCCCAGTCAACAAATGATTGTTTCCTTTTGCTATTATAGCTTTTTCTTCTTTGTCGAATGTTAAAATAATGCAAAAATTTCGACCAAATGCCAGAAATTCTCGGAAATACGAGAGTGTTCCACATGCTCGCATTCTTGAGAACACAAAATCGATTAACCATTATCCAATAGCTGAAAGTAAATGTTGCGTGTCTACAGAATACCATAAGTTTTAATTCCGTTTTTTTTTTAAATGTTTTTGTTTGTTTTTGTTTTTTCTTTCTCTTCTTTTTGAAATTTTTATAACACTACACTAAATGTACTTATTTGCATAGTTAATTTATCGATAATCCTCATTTCCGCTTGGCAAATATGAAATGTGGCCTAATTTCGACTCGTCTCACGTTGTTATATTCTTCAAATGTAATAATTTTGATTTCAGATCATGAAATGTGGGTCGCCGCAACGGATTCAAATCCCATGCTTGTCGCATCATTTCATAGATTTCGGGTGGACATCCTTCGGGTGCTTCCATTTTATAACCAACTTCTACATGCTTCACAACATCGGCTAGAGGCTAATGAAGATAATGAATTTGTCAGTTGGATTGAAGTTAGGTTGAATTTCTAATGAATATTCGAGCTGTGATAAAAACAATTCTACATACTATTCTTGGGTATGGGACTCGGCCGAAAGAGTAAATTTCCCAAAGTAAAATACCAAAACTCCACATATCCGATTTGTTAGAGAATCGCTGTGAAAGGGAAACATGATTACATTTTGATATTTTGGTTTGTTTTGAAAATTCAATGCTTTTTTTTTGGTTTGGTTAAACTTACGCCTCCTTTCAGCGCTTCCGGTGCTGTCCATTTGATAGGTAATTTACCGACGTCTAAGTTATAGCACTCTTCTCTAGCCAGGCCAAAGTCGGACACTTTGGCCACACAATCTTCGGAAATGAGGACATTCCTCGCCGCCAGATCTCTATGAACGACTTTCTTACACTCCAAATATTCCATTCCCGAACAAGTGTCACTGTGGGCGAATTCATTTTGATTCATTATTTGATTGAAGAAAAACAGCATTGTTCCACGGCTTCAAAGTGGAACCGATGAAAAAGATTGAAAAATAATTTGGGGTTGATTTGACTCACTATGCAAAATTGATTTGATCCTTTTTGGTAATATGTTGTCGGCCACGTGATCGTAAATAATCTACAAGAGAGCCCTTGCTCATGTATTCGGTGACCAGATATATATGTTTACTATTGAACACTAAACCGATGAAACGGACGAGATTCTCATGTTCGAGCGTTGTCATGACGGATGCTTCGGCGAGGAATTTCTGTGCGGCACCATCGTCTTTTAACATTTTCACCGCCACTTTTTCGCCACGCAAAATGCCAAGCATTACATCGCCAAATTCGCCCTTGCCAATGCTTTCTCTTAATTGTAAATCACTTTCTGGTATGGCCCAGCCTTTGTCCAAGAACTCTTTTGAATTTATGCAAAACTCTTGCTTGCCCTTCTTATGTAAACATTTCACTAATTGCGTGCACAAACCGTCTGCATCTTTTTCGTAGTGCTATTGTTGGAAGAAAAACAAACAGAAACACACACACAAAAACGTGTTCAATCATTGATGAATGCAAAGTTAAATTGAGTGGAAAACGAACGTATTAAAAATTGAAGCCGAAAAAGAAATACTCACGTCAACTAATTGGCCAAGATTCTCAAAGTATTCCTCGTCGTCGATGGTCAATTTATTATCTAAATACTTAACACGATAGTGTTCAACTTTTCCTTGAAAGCATACGCATAATGTGTAATCGCCGGGGAAATTGGTTGACTCTCTGACTAAAAATAAGCCATCCTCTCGTGGCTGCAACAAGTGTTCGGCTTCGTCCCTTGTGATGCTACCGTGAAACCATCTGAAAAAATGAAAGTGAATTGTTGCTTGAACCGCTGACTTTTATTCAAACCATGGGATTAGTTTTCAAAGAAAACACCATTGGCAACACTTACGGCATTGCGTTAAGTTTAACTTCTAATTTGCGGTGATGTTGTGCCGCCGATGATGACATTGTTGGCGACAACGACGATGTGCTATTCCATGTGGTGGTACTAGCATCGAAACCGGGAATAGCAGCAGCAGAGCCGCTGTGTAATGACGTTGACATTACGGATGGCACATGAACTGGTGTTGCTTGATGAAGACTAGTGACTGCGGATCCGGTGGCGGTTGTGCCACCGTTTTGATGCATATGCGGAACTTGATCGGTTGTGTCCAAATTCAATCGAAATGATGTGGTTGTGTTTGCATGTTGCGATGTTTGTTGATTTGTTTGTGATGCATTGTGTACATGCGGCTGCACGGTGGCCATTTGATTTGGAGACTTGGGCGAATGGGCATTCGATGCCATTTGTATCGCTGGTTCCAGGGCAGTTGTTGATGACGATAAATTTGTTGAGGTAGCCAAACTCAATTGTGGATTTCCCAATGCGATGGAAGACGAATGTAGTGGATTTACGTTTGTTAACTGGGAAAAAAAAGTTTCAAGAACGAAAAGTTTGAAAATCGAATGTTTTGAATAGAATTGATAAATCATTACGGCAATTTGTTAAACGGGTTGCACAGAATCAATGTGTACTTACTGCTGAATGATGATGCTGCAATTGCGACAGTTGATGATTACTTTGGCTTCCAACATTATTGTTATTATTATTATTATGTAAAATAGAACCAGGCTGTGGTGCGGGACGTTTATGGTGACGCGCTGGTGCTGTGGGTGGCATTTCATGCGCCTGCAGAAACCATGGATCACCACCACTAGTCACTGTTGACGGCTGTGAAAAACCCCGATGATGACCGACGACAACTGATTGATGCCCTGACGTTTGCAAATTCACAGCGTGACTATTCATTACTTCAAGCGAACCCGTCGAATTTCTCCTTCGAAAGATTTTCCTACGATACTTTCGATAATCTATCACCCTTGAATGCTTCGCCCCTAATGAATCGGCATCTGTGTGGCACAACGATAAAGGCAAAACATTGAAATATTAATAAAAAAAATAATAAAATGAACTCGAAATGAAAACGTTTCATTGCTGATAGTGTGGTGATTGAGCATTTCGTTAGCGGCCTACATCAAAGTAAATTGATGATACATTTTTTTCTGGAAATGTTAATTAAGTATGAATAACACACTGACATGTTGCCAATCTAGTACAATTCCAACGAAATGATTGCGATGAAGCAATGCATTTGATTGACAGTTTCGTTCAAAATCTAAAATAAAGTTCACTCAGTCAATCTGGGAATTGAATTCCAGGAAAATTTTGCTAATGGAAATAAAATCTGATGAACGAATGCTTAGGAATGAACAAATAAATATCGTTCAAATACAAAATCAAGTTATCATCACCGCTATGACACATTCAGTTTTGTTTTGTCAGAGTCAAAGTTTCTGTCTGCATATCAGACTAGCTGCTTAGTTTGATTGCGATTTAATTCTATATCTCAATTGCAATGTAAAATGATGAATTGAATGGACAGATCACAATAACTTTTCCCATACATTCGAATCTGCCCAATTCAACGGCTTATCAAATTGAGTTAAACTGAAGTAATTCGCAAAATGTCGGTTCATAAGCTGTAATAATCGTTTTCATTCATGTACGGTACAAACACTTGATGTGCCATAAAAAGTCGAACGGCTATACTGAAGACGGCTAAAAATACTATGAAAAAAAGCAAGAGTCTAGTTATAACGGAACAAGATTTATTAAACAGTTTCTGATGAATTAGTTATTTATTGTTATTCGTTTCATGAATTGTTGAATGCATGAAAGACACACACCATTTAGCGCGTACAATGCACTTGCAACAAACAAATGCCAAAAAATGTCAGTGCAAAAGTTGAATGAACATTAAATCGAGGCGCTAAAGCTAACCACACATTCTCACATTGTTTATTGCTTGGCAACTTTATTAGAAATCGAAACTATTGCGGCATTTCCACATACACCACATCGAAATCGAACTAAACTTTAAACATTTTCAATCATACAAAAGTGCTTTAAACCCAATAAAAATGGCAATCATGATGAATATCATTTAATGAAGAGAGAAAAAAAACGTTTTTTTTTTCATCATTTGTGATATTTTAAACTCAGAGTAAACAAAAAACTGGGTCAAAACTTTAGCGATACAACATTCAAGTGTGGCTTTAATTCGAAACTTGTTTCGTTATTTAAATTCATGTTTGAGTGTTAAGACGTGCGTTACGCATGCATACACACTCACAGAGATATATTGGCAAAATCAGCCGAATACCCGACGAAAAATCAAAACGAACATATTCGCTAAAATGCCAACAATTGAAAACACTTGTAAATATGAAACATTTTCACCTATTATTATGCTGAACACAGGATGTGGCAATCTCAAAACGATTTGATTTAAAGTAGCCAATTGATTATACCGAATATCGTTCGAAACCAATGTGTATTTGAAACAAAACAGAAGACTCGTGCGAATATCCGATGCGAATGTGATTACTTAGCATCAACTCAATTCATAAAAGTTTGAGTGTATGTGTAAGTGTGTCTAGGCAGTGCTAGAATAGACGTTTGTATTCGTACTAACCGATGGGCAATGTTGGCGATGATAGTCTTCGAACAATGTTTTCTTTGCATTCGATTAAGTAGTTTTTGAATGTGTTGCGTCGCCGAACGGCTGAACCGTTGCTTACTATGCCATTCTTTTTGCCTGTGCAGCCATCCCATTGACGTGCATCCGACGTGATTGGTTTCGTAGTGCATTGGCCATTTTTATCGATTCGTATGACTTTGTGAATGGATTTATCCACAGAAACCGATGACAATGCAACCGATGTCGATGAAAGACTATTGATTACAATTTTATTGCTGTTCGCTGCCGTCGCTGTCTTTTTGATACGTGACAGTGTCTTTACCAATTGTGGTGATATGAGTGCTGGTTGCGAGTTGGTTATGGGCAAATTCGGAAGTGACTGTGGAGCAACATCGATGATATCGTCTACCGATATGCTTCGTTTTGTAATTTCACCAGACAATTTGCTGTTGATTTTGTTGTTGTTGTTGTTGTTGTTGTTGTTGCTGATGGTGGTGGTGGTGTTGGAACCGTTGATATGGCCGTTGCTTATGCGACCGTTCGTGTCATTGATTACATTCATCGACGAATCTGTCACAATTCGATCATCGACCGTATGAATGCGATTGGAGTTTGTCTGAATGAAAACGCCATCGCATGTTATTTTTATCGTTGTTACCATATTGCATTTACTTTATAAATTGCATTTAGTTGTCATGCATTACACAACTGTTCACTCATCGCGTGCCGAAAATTGAACGTAAACTATTTCTGTTTTTATTTTTCTGCTTCGTTTGAGCTTTGTCCACTTTTTCGATTTTTATTCTTATCCACCATAGAAACGGGTCCGATGAATTTCTCTATACTTTTCTTATCACTTTAATTTCGTCCATTCTATTTTTCACTCACATTCGCCGGTCCTTCTAAATTATGCTTTGATTCATTCAATTAGTCACTACACCGACTCCCAATTTACGCTCGTACAACAATAAAAAAACACACACACACACACCACATTTATATTTCATGAACGTTCTCTACACATTGCTCATCCATCGCAACATTTACTATGAGTCACGCTTATTTTTTTTTCTTCTTTCTCCCTATACTGTTCTCCTTTATTTACTCATTTCGTTTGTATTCAGTCTTTTATTATGTCAAAATGCTTTTTTTTTTGTTATTTTCATACGTGTAAAATCCATTCCACGTTGTATACTTTATCAAGAGTTCATTGCGTTCTTCTATAAATGTGAAAAATAAATTATACTTTCTTACTTTCAACGTTTCGATTAGATTTTATTAAATGCGAGATGTATGGTTCCGTTCTTTTCGAATGTTATGAAATATTTGCAAGGATTTTTTTTTTTCATGAGCGATAAAAAAAAATATCACAAACGTTGATAAACTTTATAAAAGCCAACTTTCCAATTATGAGTTTTCTTATCACTCTTTTTATGTGTGTGCGCATTAAAGCATATTTCAATTAATTTTTTTTCCTTCTTGCATAAATCAACAGACTGAATTGTGTCAAAAGCAACAAACAGGCGAGAATTTTTCTCTTAAAATATTCAAGCAAAAAGATGATTTGTTGATTTATGCGGATTTTATTCAATTTCCCGGAAGCAAGCGACTGAAATCAGCGCTTGTAAATCTTGTATTTTGAGTCGCAACAAAATTATTTATTTTTCCGGTTGATAAGAATAGGGAAGAGAAATGTTATCAATTAGAATGAAACTACAGTCCATGTATAGATGTATAAATCTGACTTTCGTCAACACAAAAAAAAATGAGAATTCGCGTGCCTTTAGCGTTCCGTAGATAAATTGTTACTGAACACATTCGTATTTCATATTGATAGCCATTTTTATGGCTTACATTTTGACGAAATCTTGATAACAGATCTCATATGAAAAATAAAAGGCACCAATATTGTGCTTTGTTTTCACATCAATTAAAACAATTACCGCAATGTTTTGTGTGTGTTTGTGAGACGAACAACAAAAGACCTAAATATCGGTGTTTTTTTTATTGTTGTTGTTGTTTGAAACACTTTTGTTTGAACAACTGGCTACGACAATGATATCGCATATTGCTTACAATTCCATAAATACTCTCTGTTGCAAGTGGACATCATTTTTCTCGGAAAGATGTCAGCGAATTGCAAATAGAAAGGCGTGCACTAGTATTCAATTACATTTGAGAATTGTGTGTGCGACATAGATTCGAATAGGTATGGGGTAAATAAAAAATTGTATCTTGTCATGCAAGTGCTTATAAGTCAAAATGTCACGCGTCGCACAAGAGTTACTAGCCATAAGCATTTGATTACGAACAACAAAAACAACATTAAAAAAACTGTTGCTGCGAAATGTGTACGATGCCAGTATGATTGGCGGTTTCAGAATAAGCAACCGAATAAAAACTAAGATTTCCCGGAGTCATACGCAATTCAATCGATGCACATTGCACACGCAACGCCAATTAGACTAACCAAGTGCGTCTAAACAGAGCGCATTGTTTTTTGTTTTCTCTCCACCTCACCTTATACCAGCATATATCAATTTATGGCAAACTGGCTGCGCGACAGCTAGCCAACGATGTCAATCACTTTGTCTTCGTTTCAATAACTTTTCTTTCTGTCTTCCGCTCCACGTTGTTTTTATCATGCTTTGAGTTTTAATAAACATGTAAATCCTATCAAATCAAAAGATATTTAAAACTTGGTTTCGAATCCTCTTTCGGCGTTTTGTTCAGAAATGAACCAGCCGCAAATTTTGAGCAGCGGTAGCTCGTGATACCAAGCTAATTAAAAATACACGCAGTGTAGTAAAAAAAAAAGATTTAAATTTTAAGTAAGTGAAAGCTAGGTTAACGCTATTCATATTGTATTCCACTCTCCGTTCGCAATGATAAAAACAACAAACGTAAAACACGACTAGAACGTCGAAAGCGAATTTGTTTACATTGATTAGATGTTTTACGGTATTTGCTCCGACCTATCTGTCTGTCTCAATGCATAATTGAAAACGAAGGTCTAGAGCTGAGTGCATGTGTAATAGGTAGGCAAATACAGATTAGAAATTTTTGAAATTGGATCGTTTTCGCATTTTTCGCCAAAGATAGTGGAGAAAAAAAACATCAAATGGCAATATGAATAATGATATAGCCCATTGACTAGCATTGGATCGGTTTGCGGAGAGAAAACTATATAATGGAAACGATTGACCGCGGTCAAGTGAAACTTTACCGCAACGTTTTGTCAGTTGGCTCAGAGGTTGGTGCACTAAAAATCCACTGAAAGCGCGACGAAGATGATAAAATCCAAAACGAAAAACAATCCAAGGAAATTGAATGGACAAACGATAAAGCGCCAATACAAAAGACTATCTATAACACACACAAAAAAAGAACAAGCGAAACTGCCTGCACCGGTGTGTATGGCTTTGGTAGGTCAATCAGCTCTATCGTTAGCTGTTTTCAATCCGTTCGACTGTTCGCGATTTCTACTCATGGACTTCGTTATTTCTCTCTCTCTCTCTCTCTCTCTCTCTCTCTCTCTCTCTCCCTCTCTCTCTCTTTCTCTCTTTCTCTCTCTCTCTCTCTTCTCTTCTCCGCCTCATTTTATAATGCATACTCATTTGACATTTGCAGCATGTTTCTTTTGTTTCTACGGCTTATTCACTTTTCCTCCATTCAATGTTTAGATCGTTTATTATGTGTCGGATCGCTATTTTTTGTGTACCATGTGTGTATGCGCGCGTTTTTAATCGCTGTTGTATTCTATTTAGCCTTAACTGATCATAATCGCAATTAAGAAAAAAGAAACAGTGAATGCTCGCGCGCGCGCCCATACGCACACCTTAAGAAGCTCACACGCTCTCTCGATCAAATTAAATTGAATGTGTACTATTCACTATAAATGAATTTTTAACGATGAACTATTGTATATGATGATTGTCGTCGTCTTCGTCGTCGTCGCTGTTCATTTAGTCATTTTTCTTTCTCGGTTACGCTTTTTTTCTCTCGCTTAAATTCAGTTTAAGTGTTATCTATTTATCGCAACATGTGGTCTATGCTCACTTGCTCACAATGGTTCGCACAATCAAGCGCGTTTTCTCTTTAATTCATTATAAGTTTGGGAACAAGACAACAAAAAATGGTTTTGAAACTAAACCGTAGTTTTTCTTTATAACATGCAAACTTAGTTTGTGTGTGTGTGTCATTCGCTAAAACTTTTTTTTCTCACAGCAACACCTCAGCCAATCGGTTTTATCACTTCTCCAACACGAATTTTATATTCAGAAAGTGTACTGAACACATTTTATTGGTTAACTTTTTTGTTCGAATAATTTACAATCAATTGTCCACAAGAGGCGTGTATTCGAAATTGCCGAGAGGTAATTAATGAGCATGTGTGTTGGTCGTGAAGGTGAAAAAATGACCAATTAAATGACGCTAATTGAGAAACGGTTTTATAGGCAGGTTTAACGAAAAATTGACTTTTATAAAACAAGATAAGAGATTTCGCAGAGAATCTACACAGGACATATGTAGTTTGATTAGACTAACGTCATTCAATATGTAAATGGATGTAAATTCACTGTGCAATAAATTGCCATGACACACTCTGTATGCACGAAGCAATTTTCCCACAATTTGGCCATCACGAAATTATACCATAGGAAATTCGGTAAAAGTTCAATTTTTTTTTTCGTTCCGAACAATTTGATTTTATTAATTCGAAAAACACCAATTTTAAACCAATCAATTGTCGACGCTTCTCTTGATATTCGATACACTTTCGATTTTGACGCTTTTTATTTTAAAAATGTTTCGTTTGCTTTGCCATTAAACTCAAAATCAAAATACAGATTTCCACAATTGTTTCTCTATCGAAAACATCTATTTTCTAGTCTTAATGCCATTTATTATTACACTTAAACGTAGCTGAAAGTTTATTTTTATCTCGCAGTAAATACAGCAATTTTCTATTTCACTTCATTTGAGATGTTGATTCAAATTTTCGCATGGAACACACAAAACAATTCTCTTGTTTTTCTCTCTCTCTCTTTCATCCTCACGGCATGTTTTATTTTTTTCTTTTCATCTTCACTTCAATCAATCGATTGATTCGCTATGGAACACCGGTTGATAGCTAAATAAATTTTCGAGTGAACGGAAATTATGATAAAGTGCGCGGAAACGATAAATGTTCGTGATAAACAACAAAATACACCAATCAGAAAACAGAGAGAGAAAAATAAATAAAAAACATAAAATAAAGATCGAAAAACTGTGGTACTGCTCATGTGAAGAGCTCGAGTAATACTACGCTCAATCAAGTAATGGAAAACCTCGCGAAAAATAGAAACATGAACAACAACAACGAAAATAAAGAGGAAAAAAAACGAAAATAAAAATCAAAACGGTATACAAGCAGTGGCGGTGTGTAACATTAGTAGCTGGTATAGCATAAAATTTCTGGGTTGTTGCAGTAGTTGAGCGATTGAAAGTGATCCAAAGACATGCACAACCCATACAACCATTTAACTCGCGCTGATCATTTTGCATCGTAAATAAGCGCGACGTAAAAGCAGATTCCGACAGTGGCTAGCTACGTGTATTGGTGCGAGCCAGTGTGCGGTGAAGTGAATCATGGACTTGATCTCGCAGCATTGATGGTAAACGAGAGAGGCATAAGCGAGAGTTTGTGTGTATGCTTGAATGGAGTGAATACGGCACGGGTGAAAAATGGTATATATACGTGAACGTAGTTTACATGTGATTTTGAAAGTAAAGATAACCATTTGGACATAAGCAAGGTTGGAATGCAGATGAGTCTGGCGATCCTCGAAAATTCCTTTCGTTTTTTTTTTTTAAGAAAAGGATGAGTTGCGAAAATCAAATAGCAATAGCCATCTTTTGAAATACATGGAACGAATGCTCATTTTCGTTTGCTTTCAAATGAAGGCATTTCTTTATTTTTTCAGCTCAAACTCATCGCCCTCGTCCCTAATGGACGACTAATTTTGATAGCGAAACCGAAGCGCATTGAAAGAAAACTTACGGCAATAAAATGAAATATTTCTGTTTTGGCCATCATATCTCAATAAATCAGTTTTAACCATTACGCAAAGCTTATTTTGTAGTGTTTGCGATTTCGCAAACCGGCGGTATCCAGTTTGATAGCTATGTCTGTGTTTACATCATCCATTCTCAATCGTGTAAAAATCAATCGAATCGTTCTGATGGTGGAAAATCCACTTTAAAGTCTCAATACATTGTTGCTGTTTTTCGTTCATGAATGACTTTTTCAGGCTAAAGTGAATGTTGATTGGCATTTCATTTTGAAGCCGACACATGTACGAAGCGCTCGCATGAACAATGCAGCGGTGAATCGATGTTTTTGTTTTGTTTTTTTTTCTGTGTTCAGCTTTCAATAGAATACCTCGTAATGTGCTCGAACAATTCTACAAAACAATTGCATACATTATTGTTCGGAATATACTATTATTATTTTGAGCGAACTAACGGAAAAAGCATTTTAGCGTGACGCCTGCGCAAAACGCAGATAGTAAATACAAGTTCTATGGCTACAGCTACCGAAAATTAAATGCATCGGTCAATGCATGTGTAGTTTTTCTTTGTTTTATTTTCTATATCGCATTTCAGTTTTAAACTGTTGCTTTTAATAGTTATTTTTTTGCGCGGATTTTTTTCCTTTCGATAAAAACAAACACATTTCAAATTAATTTCATCAGAAAATGAGCAAACAATTGTTGGTTAAGTATGTACAACAAACAAATTCATTGATTTGTTTGCATTTTCATTGCATTTTATATGTGTAGCGGTTTTTGTTTTCGTTGCGGGCAAAAATGCGCCTTGATTTGGCGTCAATCAATTTTATTTAGAAATTTGTTAATGAAACAAAACAAAAATATATGTGGATTGCCTGACTTGGGGCTTGTGCAAAGTCCGAAATGAGCATAATAACCAAAACAATTTTAAATTATTTCATGATTACTCACGACAATCAAAATTTAAGGTCACTTTTCAATTGAAATAATTGCTCTCTATTGTTTCCATTATTTCATTAGGGCGATGGTAGTTGATTACGATCATTGCAAGTAGCAGCCGCTGCTGCTACCGCTGTTTTCCGCTGTAAAATTACTACTAAGGTTATGACTGCAATGAGCAAAAATAGCTCATTCGTCTGCAAATCGACGAGGTGAGCTCGAAAACGATAGAAACGAAAGAATATCAACAATTAAATAAAGGATTGTATCGGATTAAGATATCGCTCATCAGCGCATATTTCCATTGGATTCAAACTAGATTCATTATTCTGATTTTTCCATCATAACTAGCAAATGTTTGCATAAAACCGTTTATTATGAGCCACAACTGGAACAATTCCAATCATTTAAATTGATCAAATGCATAAGAAGAGTCATCGCAAAAACCAATTTAATTAAATCAGCACAGCATCTATGGCTAAGGAAAAAAAACCAAACGAACACAACTGCGGTTAATGTACCAAGAACATTGAAGATTCCTACTTTATTAGTCATTTCACTTGGATTGATGATGTAATTTTCGAGTTAGTTTCTTATGAATGATATGCCACATCGCAATCATCGCAAAAATGCCAAATGTGCTTATAGAATGTATATTCTGGAAGAAAAATAAAAAAGCTGACGCAGCTAAAAATCTGGACAGTTCGCAAAATTTCATCACTTTTGAGTCGAGACATAAATAATAAAATTTCATTCACAAACATTTCCAAATGAATAAATCAATGGTTTTATTTTATACGGGCTCTATGGTGTGGAGATGCTATTCAAAACATGCTTTTTTGTTATTATCATTTCCCTCGATTAATTCGATGTTCAAATGAAAGAGCATTCTATTCCCTCTGCTCTAGATAATGTGGTTTTAATGTGCTTCGTATCTTCTTTCATTTTAATTTCGTATCACTTTAATTATGGAAATGAATCGGAACGACCGAATGAAATCATCAATTGTACATATGAGATGGCTCTCTAAATCACAACACACCTTACTTTTTTCGCTCGCTCTCTGTTCACATTCGTTCATTCTGACATTTCAAGAGTTGAAAGTATTTGTGCGTGTTTTGGTGTGTCTACGATTAACACAAGGTCAATTTTACAAATTGCATGTCTCGAATTATCATTTCGTCACACAAACACAGCACGGCACGAAATAAATGTCCACGCAAACATCACACAAATCCCATAATATAAATCGACATTGGGTAACAGACACATATGAGCAACGAAGGAATACGGATAATAGCTCGCGTACACATGATTCGGTCACAATATTGAAAATGTATACGACAGTATTACGAATGCAAAGTGATTTTAATTCGTGAACGTTTTTTTTTCTAGTTAAATGTTCAAATGTACGTGTATACATTTCGTTGTGTGCGATGAATTGGTTCGCAGTTTTGTTAATGAAATTTAAATCATCAAGCCGCAAGTAAACCGAACTCTGCTCTCAAATGGGAACATCATACTCGGTGTGTATTTTTAAATTAATTCAATTGATTAATAAGGCAGAAATATATATATCTAAAACTGCAAAAAAAAAAGAAAACAAATCTTCGTCTAGATTATATGATCGCTCACAATTGATCTTTGGAAAGGAGAGCGGGAGAGATAGAGAGAGAATAAAACTCGTTTAGCAGAGTTAACAGCATCCAGCAATTGTATCAATATCGAAATGTTCCATTTTTACTATGCAAAAATGAGATCAGAGCAACATTTCTCGAAGAAGAGTTGGGTTAAATTGAATTAAATTAAATCCCATTATTCACATTAGAACGATTGAGGAAGAGATGTGGAGGGAAAAAAGTGGTTACTTGTTACTCTAGATTCTTTATATTGAAGTGATTGATGAAAAAGGCGGATGCACAAGAACTATTCCAAATATGAGGACAGTTGAGCGCGAAACAAATACATAAAGACGATAATGCATTCATGTATATATGTATATGCAGCATATATGCTGAATGGAGAGAGTGGAAGATGGCGAGGGAGAAAGAGAGAGAGAGAGAGAGAAAAGAAAAAAAAATTTACGAAAATTTCATATTTTTCAATTAAGAAGAGAAAAAAATAAAAATAAAATCGAAGCACACACGAGATATGTGTAAAACATGTATCTTTTGGTGAAGATAAAAAGCAGAGGAAAAGAAACGAAAGCACAAAATGAAATGACTGAAGATATTACATTGCTTCAGGTGAGCGCGTCTGTCTGTGTGTTTATGTCTATATGTTGGTGCGTTTCGTCTGAGATGATCGTGCAAGACGAAAGAAATGAGAAGAAGAAAGAAAAAAAAATACATTTCTGTCGAATACCTTTACACATACAACGGAAGCTGATTACTCGAAGAAAACGAAAAATAAAACCGAATATCAACACGAAAATACGATTTTATTTGTATAAAATACGCGCGGTATGTCGATCGAAACACCTCTCTCTCCTTCTTCTTACTGCCGCGCATTTAATTCATCAGATTCTTTCAGTTTTCTGTTTCCATTTACTCTTACCAGCCACAAATACAAATGCACGATCGACAACAACAGCAACAAAAAAAGAAAAAGACCGAATGAGAGAGAGAAAAACGCATTCAATATTAAGACAAACGTTCAGATTCGAACATTCCGCAGCCCATACCATGGGCAAATGTGTTGTTTTCCTTGTTGACTTGTCTCTTTTCTCGAATACATTTTGTTTTTGGTTGTGTCGTGTAAAAGATGTAACTTGTTCTTTTTTTTCATTTTATTTTTTTCCTCTACACTTTACTCGACCGAATCGCTTTCGTATGCACTAAGCACTGTGTTTGTTATGTTGGTTCGACTTTGTTTATTATTGTTATTACTATTATTTTGAAATTCCTGTCTTCTGGTCTTACGTATTACCTATATATTTATTTTTATACACTCCAATGATAGTGAGTGGTTTTCATTGTGTTCATTTTTCGGCACAGCACACGGTGACCGGAATATTGGATCTATCTATGTGCGCGAACTAATGCAGTCATGCTGCACACACACACACGCACATTATTTGCATTGACAAATGCGCTTAATTGTCTTGCATTTAGTTTTCTTTGGAAAATCAGCCTTGCCGATTATCAACTATTATAGATGTTTTCACCTTTTAATCTGTTTTGAAGAGTAAACTCTTTCACACTCACGCTCTTCTCCGATTTTTCTCTAATTTGACCAATGATTGTGGATACATTTGACCTGATCGGTGCACAATACACAAATTAGCCTTCTAATCCATGTCAATAGTAATTTTTAGACAAACTGAACTCGTTTATACCTAGATATTATTTACCGGTTTGTTTTCAAAGAAAATCTAACGAACCGAAATGATGTTTGCCACTGTGAACATTCATATCTTGTACAATTTTCCGAGCTGAGAGTCCGCTAGCATCAAAAAGTAGTATCTCAAAATCAACGTTGTGCGACGATAGGCTGTCAGTCGTTCGGAATTCAGCGTAATTTTTTTCGATTCATCTTCATAATTTGGGTGTTTGTGTGAATTCATTTTGACCTAATAAGTGATGATTTCGGTGGAATTGTCTATTTCTGAATTCTCAGAAATTCCTTTCTACAACCGTTCATTCATTCAAATTTATAGTCTTATTTCATCAGCGTCCCGATTGTATTAACTCAAAAAACGATACGGCCGGTGAATATATCAAATAATAGGCTTAATATTTTTGTGTTACTTCACAAATCGTCTTTTTGCCTTCTTCTTAAAACAGAATCGTTTTTTTTTCCGTTCGGTAGGCTGTTCTATTTTTCACTTCACATATGAGATGTCTTTTCTAGAATGAGGTGATCATTCAATAAAGATGAATTTAATTTGTCGCTTTTAACTGCAACGATATCGCTCTATATTCACCCAGTAAATTGCTGCATTCATGCTAATCTTTATTTACCGTCGCTCGTCTGCAGAACGCACACAGCTCTAAAAATAACCGAAGACAGATAGATAGCAATGACCTAATAGTCTAATAAATATGTGTACTACTGTACACATTTGAAACCATAAAAATTAAAAAGAAAAGAAAGAACAAAGCTCAGTTCACACATGTTCATTACTCTTGCACACACACACACTCATTCACTTATTGAACACTTTTTTTTTCTGACTTATGCAAATATATCTGAAACTACCGTTCATGAAACGTAATAAAATATTTGCGTTTCTCATTGTACGTATATAAAAACAATGTACGAAACGAAATGAATTGACTAGAGAAATGCCAAAGTTACCACATACCAATTGGTATGTCTTCAGATTGGTTTTATTTTTTGCATTTACGATTGTGTACGTGATTCGTCATCTGTCTTATTCGAATGGGAGTAATATACACGCGAATAACATCGATACGATGATGATGATGATGGTGGTGAATACGTGAAAAGAAATCAATTGTCATAATACTGAAATCCGTGGCCAACGACACCGCCACGGTGTCGTCATGAAATGAGTAAACCCACAGATAATAAGAAACGAATTTTTTTTTCTCTTTCTCTCTGTGTCTCTTTTAAGAATTAAACTTACTCAAAAAAATAAAAATAAGGAACAAATCCAATTATAGGCCAACGCATAAGTTGCTCAAACACCACACGGAAATATGCAAAGGGAAAAAAACAAATACACTGAGTAATTTGAAGTCTTATTACTTACTTCCTATTTCACTTAAATCGTTCCAGGCTGCGAGAATCTGTATTTTGTGGTCGCTAAGTCGTTTTAATACATATATTTTAGCTAATGTTTCCCCTTGCTGGATGACATACTACTGTAGATAACTCTCGTTTCTGGGCGTAATTTTTTTTTTCTCTTTTCATTCACATTAGACACAAAAAAACGATTGTAAATCTGTCATCCATTCAATCAATTCACTTGTTTAATGTTTTTCTTTATTTCTCACGCAAAACAATCACTGATTGCAATAAATTTATTTTTCCTTGCATTCAACACAAATGTTGTCTAACTTCTATGCCTCCAAGTCAATCAAACTACACAATAATTTAAACATTCAAGTTTTTTTTTCTCGCATTGTTGTCCAAATAGACAAAAATTTTAATCCGTCACCAATAAAGAAAAACAGAAAGTTTTCACTTTGTTTTCCTTGTGATTTTGTAATTTAAAAAACCCACCGAGATTTGAAATGCACTTGTACGCATATAAGCGACAACAAAACACACCTCACGATTTTTTTTTCGGGTGCTACTACCGAATTCTTCTTCTTCCTTTTTCCGTTTTCTATGTATACATTTGGGATCGAATTTTATTTTCCTTTTTCCCGATACGTGGTGCGTACTCAGATTTATTTTGTATGCATATTCATACACTATACACAGTTTTCATGGATTTTACACACCTTCACTCGTGTATTTTCTCTCGTTGGGCTCACGGATTTTTTTTTTGACTTGTTCCTGCAATTCATTCACTATAACAATCCAACTATTACTATTGAATGGGTCTTGTTTTGTATTTGAAGAAAACAAAAATGGTGTGTATTTTTTTTTCGCTGCCAATTTGTCAATGAAAACACGAAAATATCACACAAAAATTCGCACACAATTCCGTAAACATTTTTCGTCGAGATGATGTTTGCAACGCAATTTGTTCTCAATAGATTCGACTGTTCAAGTGTAACACATTTGATGGGTGAGAGAGAAGAACACAGAAATTATTCATACATATACTACGCTACTGCATTTCTCACTCAATATACAAAACTCACATTCGATGGCAAATAGTATTTTGGTGTTTCGATGTTCGAAAGCCCGCCATCTTTATTCACTCACACTGTATCGTGCATAGGTGTATGCATATTGCGTGCGTGTGCGTGTGTTTATGTTTATGTTGGTGTATACATTTCATTTCTGGAGTAGTGTTGCTGTTGCGACAATCGCGTCATACTATCCAACTGCTCGAAAGCCTATTTGGCATTTCAAGCCTATAGCCACTTTTGAATGTGTTATATGACAATACATAAAGTGACCAGCTGGAACAATGTGCATGATATCATGAAATAGATAACAATTTTAAAGCGAATTAAAAAGCTGTTGTGTATTTGTAAAATAATTTTGGTACATGAGTCCATGGAAAATATTACTAATTAGGCACTTTGTTGTGTGACTTTCAATGCAATGTTTATTCATTCTTCTTTGAGGTTGCTGTCGCGTCCAATGCTCGTTTTTGTGCGCACGTTTTGACAACATTTCGGAAATGCCATTGAATTCCATATGCCACAATTCGAAGTGGGCCCAAAATTATCGACTGCAACACATTAAACAAAAATCCACCCCACGGCGACATTCCAGAGCAAATTATCGTTAGCATCCAACTTTCAAATCCGAATATCGAGATGAAATTTCCACTCTAGAAAAAGAATCGAAGCATTTTTTAAATGTTACTTTCAATTTGACTCATTTGCACAGCATCATTCTTTTTTTACCAATGAATCGGTTAAAATCTTATGAGCCATATCTTCTGGCTTTGCCAATCCGCCTCCTCCTGAAATGATTTTTGTTTCTTCTGGCTTGGTTCGGTTCTCATTTTCAAATCCAGGTGTATCTAGAATCATGTTTAGTTGTGTTAGTTTTCACTCGAAAAGAAAAACTCTAAGTAAAGAGCTTGGGCTTTCAATCAATTCCAATTTACCTGTATCGGCCGGTAATGCCAATGTAATGGATATATTGGTGTTCGACACTTCCATGGCAATGGTTTCAGCTAAACCGCGTAATGCAAACTTGGCTGCTGTATATGGTCCGTAGCCGTAGATTCCCACGAGAGAGGCTTGTGACGCCGTAATAGTGATGATCCCATCTCCAGTTTCTTTGAATTTCGTGAGCACATAACGCGTCGGATAGTACACGGAGTAATAGTTGATGTTCATCAAATAAACTGCGTCATCGGGTGATATTTCATCTACTCTTCCGCAAATTGCTCCGCCAGCACAGTTCACCAGCATGTAAATTGGCGCAGTATCTTCCTCCAGTGCGCTTAGTGCATTTTTGACACTGTCATAACTTTTTGACAGATCAATCGAACGATACTGAATCAATTGCTTATCGTTGACGCGGTGCAACTTTATCTTTTCCAATGCTGACTCCAGCTTTTCAACACTGCGGGCTATTATTGTGACATGAGCACCCAATTTTACGCAATTGACCGCAATCCAAAATCCAATGCCTTGCGAGCCACCGGTTATCACAACATGTCGGTCTCGAATTGATCGTAATGGCTTTTTGCTTACCCACTGATAAATCGCAATATGGACAATTACCAGAATAGCAACAACCAATCCAGTTTCTATGAGAAGAGTCATTGTGTTTCCAGGAAATATTTTTCTTACTTTTGATTAATTTGATTTTTTACTGCTATTTGGCGAAGATACACCTTAACTCACTACCAAACGATAGTGACAGCCAAAGATACTGTGATAACTACGTATGACATTCCATTTTTATTATTCATGCCGCTTTCGTTCAATTGAAATGCATTTGAGGTTATGATCTCAACAAATGTTTGTTTATATAAATGCCAAGTTTAACAAGTAACATATGATGTCATGAAATGGAAAGATATGGAACTGAAACGTATCCAGAAAACAAAATTTGAAATTATAACATTTTATAACTGTTTTGAATTTCCGAAGTAAAATGAAAATTTTACAGAATTTGTTTTATTAATTTTTAAAATGAAAATATTTTTATTTCTTTGAAATTATAGCACAAAAATAAGAAAATCGCAATTAATACGTAAATACAAAGGGCTTATTTCATTCGTCTTACGGAGGTTCGCATTGGCCGACCAGTTTTCACTGTGTACGTTCCACTGCCCAGTCTTATGCTGCAAGTGTTTGCCGGTGGCTGTAGCGATGAATTAAATGAGAATGTTGTTGGGACTGCAGCTGGAGCCGTTGCTGGTCCACCGAAGTTGAACAGTTTTGCTGTTTCTGGTTGGCTGTTGGCTGAGCCGAATGAAAACGATGATCCTGTGCAAAGAAAAATTAAAACATATCATCATTAGAATTGCTCTTGCACTCAAACTCTTGCGCTCTAAGATAAAACATTACCGATGTTTGATGAGAATGAAAATGGTGCTGGTTTTGTTTCTGCTTGGTTTCCAAATGCAGAATCGGGTGTTGTGTTTGTGTTTGAAGTGCCGAAGACCCCAGTCGATGCTGTAGTCGCTGGTGGTTGTGAAGCATTTTGACCGAAAGCAAACCCACCAGTAGCCTGCGATCCAAATGCACTATTCGATTTTTGACTCGGATTGGTCGCCATTGTTGGTTTGCCAAATGTGTTTGTTTGATTTTGGCTGCCGAGAACTGGAGTATTTGCGTTCTGATCGGTTGCAGTGCCAAAAACAGGGGCCGCTTGAGAGCTTCCAAATATACTCGTTGAACTGGTCGCTGTTACAGTACTACTCAAAATACCGCCAAAGGTTGGTGTTGCGTTTTTATCGCCAAATTTCGGAGCGGAAAATGACCCAAAACTGTTCGGTTGTGTGGTTGCCGTTCCGAATAATGGTTTGGCATCTGTATTCGGCTTATTTGCTCCGAACGCTCCGAATGCACTTTGAGTGGTCGAAGTTGGGTTGGTTGTGTTCGCTGTTCCGAATAATCCAGTCGATGGAGCTGCTGTGCCAGCAGACGGAGACGGAGAACCAAATGCTAGTGGTGAAGTTGTAGCATTTGTTGTGGTGTTTCCGAATTGAAAAGCGCCCGTTTCTGAAATTGTTTTGCCCAATTAGTATTGAATAGAAGTTGAAAATAACTATTTTCATTCTGAAATTACCTGGTTTGCTGGTGTTTGCTGTAGCTCCAAACGAAAATGATGCTTGATTTAAAGTTGTGGTTCCACTTGCGGTGGTAACATTGGTGTTTGTGAGTCCGAATGTAGGAGCCGGTGTGGCCGTAGCATTTGCACCGGGCCCGGAACCGAAAACAAATGCATTGGTAGCAGGGGTGCTTGTGATTGTCGCGGCTGAAGGAGTGGTCGTTTTAGCTACCGCTCCAAATCCGAATAGGCCTGTGCCTGTACTAGAAGTGCCAAGTGTATTTGTGGTTGTACTGGCCACACTGCTGCTTGGAATACCGAATGAAATTCCTGTGTTTGCAGGCAATGCAGCTGGTTTTGTTGCTGGGCTCCCAAAATTGTATGCAGGAGGAGCAGATGTCGCTAGCACACTACTCGATAGAGTTGTGGTCGTTTCTGTTTTGGCCTGTGTGTTCGAGCCAAATGTGGGTGGAGCAAACGAAGGCAATGTGGTATTACCAGTTGATTTAGCCAGTCCAAATGAGAAAGTCGGTGCGGCTGCTTTGGTTTCTTCCACCTTTGAAGTTGGCACGGCTTCCGTTGTGGCCGGTTTTGCAGCCAAAGACGATGTAAACGTTGGTGGAC